AACTATTTCTTGAACAGAATGTAGGGAACCACAAGCAGCTGGGAAATGCCTGCTTTTTACCTTTGGGATTTCCCTTTAAAAACTCCCATCACCATCTCCACTGCATTACCCTCAGCCTAGATTTAGAACAATCTTTCCGAGTGCTCAGCATGGCTCAGGGAAGCCTCAGCGACAGCCACCGTGCCGAGCTCGCTCTTTCCCTGTGCCCAGAGGGACTCGGAGCCTGTCCCCGGGCAGGAGGGCGCTGTCCCCGCGCTGTCCCCGCGCTGTCCCCGCGCTGTCCCCGCGCTGTCCCCGCGCTGTCCCTGCGGTGCCGGGGGTCCCGGAGCCGCCTAGGGGGGGCTCTGCTCGGCTCTATGGCAGTGACCCCGGCAGGTTCTCTTCCTGCCGCAGCCTTTCCTTTCCTGTGGCAGGTATGTGCAGCAGCCCGGCTCTTTGTTACCCCGGCTCTTCCCTCCCCGCTGCTCCGCAGGTACAAATCCCCAGGGCTGCCCGTGCTTCGGCGGGGAGCGGCTCCGGCAGGACCTGCTGGGGAATCCCGCGTGTGCCGCGGAGTTCAGCGGTGCCAGAGGTGCAGCGTGGTTGGCTGCTCCCTGCCGGGCATCCCTGCCTGCCTGGCATCCCTGCCATCCCTGCCATCCCTGCCTGCTATCCCTGCCCAGCATCCCTGCCATCTCTGCCTGCCATCCCTGCCTGCCTGGCATCCCTGCCATCCCTGCCTCCCATCCCTGCCTGCCTGCCATCCCTGGCATCCATCCATCCCTGCCTGGCATCCATGCCTTCCCTGCCTCCCATCCCTGCCTGCCTCCCATCCCTGCCATCCATCCCTGCCATCCATCCCTGCCATCCCTGCCTCCCATCCCTCCCTGCCATCCCTGCCTCCCATCCCTCCCTGCCATCCCTCCCTGCCATCCCTTCCTCCCATCCCTCCCTGCCATCCCTCCCTGCCATCCCTGCCAGGGCCCTGCCACGTGGAAAAGGTCAGGGGATGCTTCCTGAGCTCACCCCACCTGCCTCAAGAACAGCGATTGAAATTTCAATTCCTTTTTTATTATTTTTTTGGTGTCTTGTCAGTTGAGTGGATTCTGGAGTGGGGGTTATGCTGTGTGCATAGAGGGACAAGGAAACTGCAGGCAAACTGAGAATCATTTCTGACTATTTTTAATTGCAGTTCTCTTAACATCTGCTTCCTTTCCACAGTTTGCTTATGGGTATGTTAAAATCCAGGATCAAACTTCAGAAGCTTACTAGAAAGACATTCTGTGTGTGTAAAGTAGATACACTGTTTTGTTTATTTCTTAATGGTATAGAAACATACAGTATTGCTTTGTATGTTTTGCATACAAAGCAATACTGTAGCCATAGGCAGCTTCTCTCTTTATATTGCACCAAAATAATCTATGAATTGTTTGATTTGTGGATGACATGGCTATGTTGAACACCATGAAAGTATGGATCAGCTTTTTAGTTATTTCAAATTAGCATGTTGTATTGAAGTGTAAATATGTGTCCTTCTGTCCTCCACTCCCAGCAAAGGCAGGTTAGTGCTGAGGCTGTGACCCTGCTCCCTCAATCTCATGTACATCTATAAAAAAACAGTGACATATCTGGTGGAATTTTATTTTGTTTATAAAAGCAATGCTGTCTTTTTTTATAGAGTAGTTACTTTCAAGCAAGTCACACTGCTTTCAGAAATACCTCATTGTTTTGTCACCATTTCTGTATTCTTGTTTCATTTCATTCATTCATTTATTTGTTTTTAACAGCCTGAGTAGGCAGAGCACCACTTTGTGTGTAGTCCTAGCTAATGAGGCAGTCACTAAAAAGGCATAGCCTAAAACATTGAATTTCACTAATACCAAACTTAAACTGTTCTGTATTAAACTCTTACAGAGTTAAATGATTAAAACCACTAAGAATTATTATTCTCTGGCAAATATTTGCTGAGATGATTTAATGAAGGTGGTTTAGAATACTGAATTATTGAGTTTAGTTTTACAACTGCCAGTGTGTTTTGAGGACTGAGTTGAAGAGTTGAAGCCTGAGTATTTGAACAGAAAACTCCATTCCTGAGACTTTCCTTTTGTAGTTACCAAAGACTTAATGCAGGGTGTTGAGGTACCTTTCTCCTTAGTTCTGGCAAAAGTGACCCAGAGGAAATGCCATCAGTTCCATGTTTGCCCCTCAAGTACTTTTGCTCCACTTCTCACTAAATCTTAAAAAATCTGAGCAGAAGAAATGAAAGGAATTAACAGCGATGAAAGGAGGAAGCATGAGGACTGGAGAGATGGAATTGCCTTGCAGAATTGTAATAGAATAATGTAGAAATAGTAAGTTGGGCATTGTTGTTCACATTTCTGTGTGATACAAGACCATAATCCAGTTAAAAGCTAATGTCCATGATTTATTAAAGTGATACATTTTTGTAACTGGTGATACACAAAATTTCCTCCTGAGGTGGCATTAAACAGGACTGCAGTGACATTGGGGAAGGGACTAGAAGTGTATAACTAAGAAAATACCCCACATTAATGCTGAAAAAAAAAATATTAGCTCTAATTCCAGGGACAGTCCAGTTATAGAATGAGTAATTTGTTAGGGATATATATATATTTATAATATATGTTTATGTGTGTATGGATACATATGGGTACACACACACAATCATCCCAACACTTTCCCAGGTTTTCTCCCTTTAAATTTTCACTATGTGGGAGTTCTGATGCTGTTCATAGTCAGAAACTAGATGGTGGCTTAGATAAGGCTGCTGGTATTGTCAGATGCTGGAGTTCCTAAAGGCATAGCCTAAAGCATTGACTTTTATAAATTTATAGGTTTATAAATAGGTTTATAAATATTTCCAGGGAAAATTTTTGACCACAGACTCAGATCTTCCTCTGTACCCAAACCTTTTGAAAGAAGATGATCTCTCTTTTCATATCCTCACAAAATAAGGAGTGAAGGAACAAAACAAGGGGGATTTTTTCCCTAGGGTGACCTTGTGTTTGGGAAGTGTCTTGGGTTCTTTCCAGGTAGATTGTAAATGTTTTCCAGCTTCTCTAGAATGTTTCTGGGAGTCCCTCATGCTCTTGCAGGTGGCCCCTTGTGCTGACTTGCCTGTTAGTGTTTCTTTGAATGAAACAGTGAGACAGATCCACACTGCAAAATGTATCCATTGCTAATACAAGCATTCCTGGGCTTGTCAGCTGTTGGCAAAAGATTTGTAACCACCAGCAGAAGGAATACTTAGGGTTTGGGTGTGTAAGGCAGCCAGGGTTGTGTAGGACCTGGAATATTTTCCCCAGGTACTTTGGGTCTCAAAAGAGTTAAAGAACTACTTTGATAGAAATCTACCCTGAGAAAAGGATAAGCTCAACTGAAAATTCCCTTCATCCTACCATCAAAATCTGTTGTGACATTTTTGGAGAGGATAGAGAATTCCTGACAGGAAGCAAAAAAGGATCAAAAAAGGGTCAGTGTAGAGTCAAGGACCTGGGCTATTGTTTTTGCCTCCTAAAACTTCATGCTCTGATATTATTATCAAATGGCAACAAGTTCCTCTCCATGTTCTTCTGTAAAAGTAACCCACCCCTGCTGTCCCTGTCCTCAGCAGCTTCTAGGAGCACTTAGTATATCCAGTATTTATGGGGATTAGTTTTACACCTGGGTCAATTTAGTTGACTCTTAATGGGCTTCTAGATCAACATTCAACTTCCATCTTCCAGACACTCCTGAGATCATTACAGCAGGAGCAGAGCTCAGGCCTTGCAAACCTTCCTGGGAGGTATTTCCTTACTCTTTCCCTGTAGATAATTACATGAGAAGACTTGCATCAGCCTTGTGGAACTGTATCCTTTGGTTTGGTTTGGTTCTCTTTTACTTTTCCAGCCTCAAGTGTCTGCTCAGAGAATCTAGAAAGTTCTGGTGCAGTATCCAACTGACTTGATGCCATGCTGGACATGTCCTCACTGTTCCATGTGTGTCCAGTTAAGCTGAAGGAGCTACCTTGTCTTTGCAGACCTGCAAGTGGTATTGGAAAGGGACATTTTGCCATCAAATGGCCTCTGGGACAGTCTGTTGTCATCCTTTCCTAGAGCTGCCTGCTACCAAACTGATAGCTCCCATCACAGCCCTGAGAAATACTGGATTTATCAACTAAATGACTTGAGTTAAATGAAATTAAGGCTCATCCCTTTGCTATCAAATCCCATTACTTTCCCTAAGATGGCTTAAGAATTGCAGTGTGAGCAGGATCTAGCAGGAAAGAAGTGTAGAGCTGGCAAGGCAGAGAAAGGAGAGAGGGCTTAAATGAATTACTGTTATCTCTTGGGCAGAAAAGAAGGCTGCTAATGAGTTGGACATTCTGAAGAAAACTTTAATTATCCTTCTCCAGGCACCATCCAAGCATGCCAACAACTTCAACATCTGTCAGAGAGGATGTTTAATGCAGACAGATGTTTGTGCAGCACTCACTCAGCATCTGGGTCTTCTGTGCTTATGCTCACACTGACACTCTCTGTGTTGGGAAGTTAAACATTGCATTTCCCTGTTCCTGGAAAGGGGAAAATTCCCTGTAAGAGAGGTGAAACCCTTGGGCCTGTGCTGCCCATGGCAGTGGGAGCTGCCCATGCTCCTGGTTTTTATTTTTGATGTTCAGAGGGAACGAAGGCTCGTGGAGTATCAGGGCAGAATCTGTGGCCTTGACCTGGTAATGGTATCCCAGGTAGTAGAGAATATTGACATTCCCTTTCCTCTCTCCTCTGGGAAGCAACACTATTTCTAAATTTTCCTTGTGTGCCTTTTCTATGTATTCTGAGCTCATTAGGGTTAGTGTGGCTTCTCAGTGATGTAACTGTCTTAATTCATAAAAATTTGCTTGAGGCAAAGAAGGAAGGAGGAGGAGGAATTGTGATCCTTCTGCTTGGTTTTGATCAGATACTTTTTAGCAAAGTACATGGCAGCTGACCAAGACAATGACACAGTGCTTTCCTTTTTTACAGTTTGAAGATAAATCTGATGCGGTATTTGATATTACAGAGAAATGTAAGTATTTCTATTTATTCTCTAATGCCATAGTTTCACAAAGCCTTTCTTGGAAGTGTCATTGCTGCTGAACAAGACTGTCTTGCCCTCATCCCAGCCCTTCCTGCTCATTCCCTCCTGCATTGCCTTCTCCACAAGTGCTACAAGTGAGGTGAATGGAAATTAATATTTTTTCTTTCTTGGGTTAGTTTTACTCAGTTCAGCTTCTGCTTCAGAGTGGTGAGGGCAACTGAACCATCCCTATGTCAGCAATGTTTTCAGAGTTATGTTGGCATGAAAAGGCTGAGAATATTCAAGAAATTGCAGCATCAGCCAGATTAGGACACTCACACTTCTCCTTCATTACACATGAAATTGGTCAATTTTCTGACAGTTCACTGGGATTTTTTTCTCCTTAGGTGGTGAAATTCTGGATGCAGAGATGTCTGAGGACGCTGAGCACAACTTAACACCTGCCCTGGACAGCTTGTCTTACGGAGTACTGAACCGAGCAGGACCTGAGAACTCACTGCAGGGTGATGATCATGATTATTTTCTGAACTCTGGGGATCTTGCAGGCATACCTGTTGTTGGGAGTGACAACGAAGATGATCAGAATTTCACTCCAAAAGACGCTCTTTCTTCAGCAATTCATGATGAAGATCATCTGGAAGAGGGCAAGAGAGTTCCAGATCATGAACTGGACAGTGAAAAAGAAATTCAGGTTCAGAATGCAATCCAGAAGGATCTCACTTCCCCCTTTGAGCAGGGCCCCGTATTTAAATCACTTCGAAAAGATTTTAGCAGAACACGAGATAATGGCAAAGAGACTTTTTCAGCAAAGGACAAGAATAGAGAAGGACATTTTCAAGAACGTGAAAAACGGTTGGAAAAAATCCCTAAAGATATGGATTCTAGATTGAAAAGCAGTTTTCTTGACAAAGCAGGTAACTGTTGCCATCATAGACCTGGCTGCCCAGCAAAGAGGAAGAAAGAATTAGAAAGAAATCAGCAGTAGGGCTAATTATTAAAAACATCACCTTGTTGAAGAGAACAGGCAGAGCTGTGTGTAGGGGAGCATTTTATGAAGAATCCTGCAATCCAATGAACTCTGTCTTAGGAGGAGGATTTGCAAAGGGCTTGGCAGTGTCAGGGAGGCCTCATCCTCCACTGCTTGTTACAGAGCCTCAACATAACCTTTGTTGTTGTGGTTTCCTAAACCAAGCTAGGTGACAATTCAAGCTTCCTTTTGGTTTTTCTCACTGTTTTTTATAGACCATGGAGCTTCTTAAAAGAAAAGGTGATGAAGTTTAGGTTAAGTTGATGGCCACTAAAGATTTTTTGAGCAAAGCACCAATTCTTCACTAGTGCCTAGGCATTTAAAGCAGTGTGGATTTGATAGTATCAGGGAAAGGCTTGCTAGAAAGGAGTTAGTGTCTGCAGGAACTAAGCCAGAACATAGCTTGAAATCTGCTTTTCCTGGGAGACTGCTCCCCTTCTTCCTCAAATACTTGTGTCTTGGACTTCATCCAGCCAACATGGAAAGAACCAAAGATGCCTAAAATCCCTTTCTCATTTGACAGTCTCCATAATCTTGCTGCCCACACACTTATTTTTGTCTTCTCAAGCTCTGAAAGTTACAGCAGAGCAGTGAATGAAGGAGTTAAGAATAACCAAGCAGGACCACATGGTTTAATCTTATTCAGCAGAGGGAGGGTGAGCCAGCACGTGAGGCACTCCTGGCTGCTTGTTCACATTCACAGCTTCTAGTTCTGAGGTTTAAACTTTAAATGTTCAGCAACAGCATCTTCAAATCAGTGCTTCCAGGTGGCACCAATGATAGAGAAGCAATAAAAATATCTTGTGAAATAAATTTACAGATGTATCTCTACTTGTACCTTCAGTTAGAAGTCAAGGGAAGAATGTTTCTGTACATAGGATGTATTTCAGAAAGTTGTAAACACCTACAGTTAAAAGATCAGGTAAAGTAGTCAGTAGTTGAAACCAGAATGATAAATGCTCTTGGTAGCATCCAGCATCTAGGCAGATCCAAAGTTTTTAAATTATATGTTCTAAAAAAGCAGAAGATGCTATTTCCTGAGAAGAGGGGAAAAGGCAAAAGAACAGAACAGCAAAGGAAAAGCTGGAAGATGTTGCTCTGAAAAGTATTTTCTGATTTAAATGTCAAAACAGGGGAGTTCAAAACCTGCTGAGATGTGGAAAATTCTGAGTGAAGAATTTGCATCGGAAGTTTGCAACTATTTTGCTGGAATGGGAAAATAATGATCCAATAGAATAATTAAAAAAGAGTCAATTCTCTTTAGGGATTACCACCTTCCCTACAGGGAGGAGAAAGGGAGTAGTTTAATAGTGGTGAGGTGCTGTCAGACACTGGGGTTGGGGAGCAGGATGAGACTCTGATAGTTTTAAAGGAAATGCATTGGAACCTGTATTCATTTCTATTTAATGTATATGTTTTCCTCAGTTCATAATCAAGTAGAAGAAACATTACGGACGCAGTTAGCGCCACAAACTCCAGAAACTAACTTCAGGGTAAGCTATAGATCTTTCAACCACTTTTGCAAGTGCAGCAATATGCTGGAATAATTCAAAATACGTATTTTGTATTTGAGTGTAAATTTGAGTGTTAAGGAAACTGATCTTCTGACTCTTAGACATCTTTGCTACTTAAACAGTACATATAATTTTGTAAAATTTTCCTGAGCCTCTCTTTGGATTGAGGATTCTTTTGGTAGCCACTTTCCTGTTCAGCATGATTGGAGTGACCAGTGAGCCGAACCTACAGCTGGATGCATCCACCTGACCTGCTGCTTTTTTTCCACACGAGCCAGGGAACAGCTGTATCCACAGGAGACACTCCCAAACAACCAACTTACAGAGCTGGGTGTCTTCTGCTTGGGCCAGAGGAGTGGAAAGCATTGGGGGTGGGATGAGAGAGGGGGCTGCAGGGAGGTTGAGGCAGCAGCTGCTGCCCAGCATTTCTCCCACCTTGGCAGGACCCAAATCTCTTGGTCTGCAACACAAACTCCCCTTGGCAGCAGCCCAACTCCTCATGGCAGATGCAGGAGGGTGAATTCTTTTTCATATTATTGTTTCAGGAGTCTAGCTACCTATTTTCTAGTAAGGAATCTATTGGACAAGAGCTGGGGAATTCCTTTGCACCAAATATTAGAATTAAGAAGGAGCCTTTGGATGACGAATATGCTAAAGCTATGGCCCCACAGCAGGGACTATTAGACAAAATTAAAGATGAACCTGGTAATTCTGAGGTAAGTTTCCCATTGCATTTCTCATTTTGGTCTGACAGCTGACCGCTTAAGCTGAACAAAAATTCAGCCATTTATTTGGTTTGTTGGCCTAAATTTAACTTGAAGAATATAGTTTAGTTGAAGGATTTTTCCCTCTTACACTACTATGAAAAAATTACCCACCCCCCCTCAACTTTTTGATGTCTTGTTACCTTGTCTCTGAAAATGTTTTTCTTTTCAGTTAGAAACAAAGCCAAGTGCTCTAAAACTTCTGTAACTAAATCTGTGGCAACATAGACACTTTACCTAACTAGGAAATAACCTGTAAATCACATTTTGTTAAATAACTTATGAGTGCTCATAATTAGAGATATTAATTAAAGCAGCTATTGCTGCTACTTCCTTCTTAAAAGCTGCCTTTGCAAGCACAGTAGTTTGTTCCTGTTTTAAATTAGCACTTAAAGGACTTAGCAAAATATTTAAGTACTTACACATCAGTGAAGTCAATTTAAGTATGTGTTTAAGTGACTTTCTTATTCAAGACTGACACTTTTTGTGGTGATACAGGTAAAACTCAGCAACTGCAATCTGGAGAAGGTCTGACCTGTGGATTGAGCAGTGCTGGGGCCAGGGTTGCTGAGCTCCAGCCAATCTCTGTGCCCCTGGTTTGCTGTGTGACACCAGGGGAACGAGCTGTGCTGCAATTCCTGTCTCCTCACTGCTCAGATCTGGGTTACATGTCAGATTTTATATGTGAAAGGTGTGCAAAACTTCCCAAAATGATGCATCCCTTTGCACCAACACATGAGTGTTGGTGTTCCTGTGTAGGTGTTAGTTTTTAGCATCAGTCTTTGTCCTTCTGCTGAACCTCCTCTGCTCTCTGGGCCTGTCTTCCCAGCACTTTTTCTTCTTTTCCCATAATACTCTCAATTTAATAAGTAAAATATTTGCAACTTCAGATTTTACTGTCCTTCTGGTTTGTTCAGTCTCTGTGGGATTGTTTGGGTTTATTTTTCCTTGAACCTGTAGAATGTCAAACCACGTGTAGATTAGTTAAATCTGTCTCTTCTTTTGTCCTCCCAAGATGGCATCTGCTGTGTGGATTTGTGTGGAATGCAAGGCGAGATGTCTGTGGTTATCAAAGATCATATTAATAAGTAAAAATGAAGACTTGAAGAATTTAAATGTCAAATATCGTATGGTTCAAAAAATTCCTTCCTGGAGTAAAATCCTGTGATTATCAACTCTGCCTGATACTGGAAAAGTAGGAGAACCGAGTTCATTTTGTTTTGCTTTAGATTGGAATTTCTATGGGGGGGATTTTATGGATTTTTTTTTAATATTTCCTGAAAGATAAGAGCATTTCTTGCTGTAACCAATAGTTGGAGCTGAAAGTTTTTGGCTTTCAGCACTGTTAAGCTGCTGTGAAACTGCTTGATCATGCACAGTTGATGTCAGGATTTGCCTCCATTTCTTTTCCTGCTCTTGACTAATGATACAATTACAGTTAAAGTGCTTAAAAAACTGTATGTCTGCAAATGATTAATTTTTCAATAATAATAATAATAATAATAATAAAAATGGTGCTTAAGAATCTCATCACAGCATGCCCATACCCAGCTTTGAGCTTCTCAACGTGAGATTTGATTGTTTGAGTCTGATGGTTGACATGGTCAAGGAATACCACTGCCTGTCTCCTGGGAAACATGTTGAGAAATACTTTGCTTGTCTAGCATAGAAACTTCCAGTTTTCCCACAGGAGTGAGAGGAGTGCTCAGTTTGGGCACGTGCTCAGTGGAGGTTGTTGTGGGATTTTGGGAGCTGGCAGAAGCTGGGGGAGCCTCTCACTGCCACTGGGAAGGGAGAGCTTCCTTTTGCTTAGTGATTCTGAGTTGGTTTCCCTGGCAGCCAGGCAGCAACTGTGAATTTAGCTCAGTCATAACATGACATCATGCCTCACTGCTCCCAAACGACTGGAAGTAGGCTAAATCTTATCATCTCTGGAGTTCCAAGAGATTATGTTATTCAGCCTATTAAGATTTCCATGTGGAGTGTTCCAAGCTGCTTTCTGGCTCAGATTTCTGGGGAGAGCAGGGGCAGGAAATGTGCTGGCAGTGGGAATAGCTGCTGGGGACTCAGCCAGTCATTTCTAGCATGTCAGCTATTCCAGCAGCAGCTGTCCAGGGATTTTCTCATCCTGTACCAAATGTGAGGTGATTCCCCTCATGCTGGAGCTGGGACTGTGATGGTCCAGCCTTGGTCTGCTGTAAAGCTTCACCTTAGGCTGCTCCAAGGTCCTAACTCCTGGTTAAAACAGAACTCTCCCCTACGAGGTCCCAGCTCTATTTCATTGCTATCCTCCTTTATGTGAAGATAAAACTTCTTTCCCAGAACAGGGGCAAGGCAAAAGCACTTCCAGCTGGAAAGTTGGAATGGGAAGCAGAGATTTCCTTAAGCTTTGGCTGAATTCTGAGCTGTCTTGGAGTGCAGCTGGAGAGGGGGATGCAGCAGGCAGCCCCACCTGTGCATTTGTGCCCCCTCAGGTGTGGTTTGCTGTGGAGCTCTGAGCAGGAGCTGTGTGTGCTGCTCACCTGTCACCCAGCCTTTGGAGCAGGCTTAGGACACCTCCTCCCTGAGGTTCAATGCAGCATTGTGAAAGAAGGGAATCATGTAACCTGTTATTACATGTGTGTATTTGTTCTCCTTTTCCTTTTCCTTTGTCTTAGGAGTACGGCCAACAGCCAAAATCTCAGGAAGGGGAGCTGAAAATCAGTGCTGTATTTTCAGTCAGTGGCAATCCTCTTGGTAAGGAATAGGCAAGAATAATTTCATTTAAATCTGTAAAATGTGTCACCTTTGCAAATAGTCTTGCAGGTCACTCTGCATTTCATTTGCTGTGTCTGATCCCTGTAGGAATGAAGAACTAGTTTGGTTTAGAGAGAATGAAATTGAGATTAAAAATAATAGTGGTTTTGAGGCATAGGAAAATTGAATGTGAAATGCATAGGAGAACTGAATGTGTTAAATAGTCTTAAGCTGAAGGAGGGCTGATTTAGATTAGATCTTAGAAAACAATTGTTCCCCTGTGCAAGTAGAGAGAACCTGGCATAGGTTGCCCAGAGCAGCTGTGTCTGTCCCTGGATCCCTGGAAATGTCCAAGGCCAGGTTGGACACTGGGGCTTGGAGCAACTTGGGATAGTGGAAGGTGTTCCTGCTCCTGCCAGGGGGTGGAATGGCATGAACTATAAATTCCCTTCCCACCTAAACCATTCTATGATTCCATGAAAGGGATGTTGAAAGTGCATTCTCCATCTTCAGAGTAGTTATAAAAATCTGCTATGCAGAAAACCAGCACAGGGCATGTATTTGTGGAGAGTTCATCTGCTATTTGATTCTCCCCTAGACCCTGACAACCCAAATAAAGCTATGAGCCTTGTGCCTGCCCCTACACACCAGTGAGTTCTTTGTACTGGATCTGTAACACTGACTCTGTGTTTTCTCTGTGTGGTTTTTTTTTTAGTTCCACAGCTGTCATCAGGTTTCCAGCCTGCTGTGGCATCCTCTGGCATGAGTAAAATGCTACCCTCAGTTCCAAGCACAGCTGTTCGGGTTTCCTGTTCTGGCTGTAAAAAAATCCTGCAGAAGGGGCAAACTGCCTACCAGAGGAAAGGCTCAACCCAGCTCTTCTGCTCCACACTGTGCCTCACTGGATACACCATTCCAGCTTCTCGCCCACCAGCTTCTACCAAGAAAACCTGCTCAAGCTGCTCAAAGTAGGACAGTGCTTTCATTTGTTCTACTAATAATTGATATTCAAGCAGATAATGAAAGGCTTCAGTTCTGTTCTTGTGCCCCTTGCTGTGTTGGTAGTGCTGCTCCTCTTATGCTTCCCTTCAAAAATTGGTGGCTGATGCTGTTCTTTGTTAATTGGTCTGTCTGCTTGCAGTTCCATTTCCTTAATTGGGTTTTACACACACATAGATTTAAAAGCCTCTGTGGTGCAGAATGCATCTTCTCTTTTTTTATATTTAAATGAGCCAAATATGAAAAACTGTGTTTCAAAAGGTCCAGCATCTGCCTGCCATTTCAAAATGTCATTTCACTCTCAAAATTACTAACAAGAGTACATTTTCAAAAAGTATTTTATGCATTATTTCTTCTAAAGAAAAACAGATTTATGAATCCCTAAAATAAACTAAAACATGGGTGAGTTAATGTATTCAAGGTTTCAATTAAATGGATCCATCCTCTCCTGGAGAATGTTTAGTCTCCAGAATAATCAAGAACAGCAAGTTCATGAAACCCCCATTAATCCTTTATCTCTGTGTTTGTTTTTCTTTTTCCACAGAGAAATTCTAAATCCAAAGGACGTAATCACTGCCCAGTTTGACAACACAGACTTCAGTAAGGATTTCTGCAGCCAGTCTTGTCTGTCCACATATGAACTGAAAAGGAAACCCATTGTCACTATCCACACCAACAGCATTTCCAGCAAGTGCAGCATGTGCCAGAAGAATGCAGTGGTAATTTCCATTTTCCATGTTTAAATTTCTTTAGCTCAGCACAGCTTGCTGGCTCAGAGATGACCAGACATATTCTTCCTGTCCTTGCTGTATGTTCCTTTTCTTGCAGATCAGGCACGAGGTGAATTACCAGAACGTGGTGCACAAGCTCTGCAGCGACGCCTGTTTCTCCCAGTTCCGCTCAGCCAACAACCTGACCATGAACTGCTGTGAATATTGTGGGGGATACTGCTACAGTGGCTCTGGCCAGTGTCACGTCCTGCAGATAGAGGGACAGTCCAAAAAATTCTGCAGTTCCATCTGTGTGACAGGTTACAAGCAGGTATATGTGATGGGACAAGGGGGAATGGATTCCCACTGCCAGAGGGCAGGCCTAGATGGACATTGGGAAGAAATCCCAGGCTTAGATGGACATTGGGAAGAAATTCCAGGCTTAGATGGACATTGGGAAGAAATCCTTCTCTGTGAGGGTGGGGAGACCCTGGAACAGTCTGCCCTGAGAAGCTGCTCCATCCCTGGAAGTGTCCAAACTCAGGTTGGACAGGGCTTGGAGCAACCTGGGGTAGTGAAAAGTGTCCCTGTCCATGGCAGGGAGTGGAACAGGATGGGCTTTAAGGTCCCTTCCAACCCAAAACATTCTGGGATTCCATGATTTCTGTATTTGGACAAAATACTAGAAATAGAATCCATCTAATTTTTATTAGATTTTAAGTGTTTTAACACCCAATTTACTGTTTGATTATTTCAGATACTATATTGGTTTAAGGTAACTGCTTTTTCAAGATTTTTTTTCAACTATTTTTTTCAAGAATAACAGAATCATTAAGGTTGGAAAAGCCCTCCAAGATGATCAAGTCCATCCTTCAACCAAATACCCAATGCCCACTAAACCATATCACAAAGTGTCACAGGTCAGAGTGGGTTTTGAACACATCCAGGGATGATAATTTGCTGCTTAATCTTTGCCCACATGTGTTGCTCTGGTTTTTTGTCACTACTGGACCAGCTACCAGACAATTCCAGTGTGGGAGAAGACACAGTGGGACCACTCAGCAGCAGCCTCCTGTGGCTGTTTTCAGCCTTGAGATGCTCCTTAAAGAGTATTCTTTATTAAATTGTAGCCCTTGAATTAAATGGAAAGGAAAAGTAATAATTAGTTGATAATTATGATTTTAACTTTTAAACTTCTCATATTTATTTTTTATTATTGAAGACCTGAGCATTTAAGAGAACCTTAATTTATTATAATAGCTCAATTATTCTTGAATTATTTATTCTAAAGCAATTACTTTAGGAAAAAATTGCCCTCTGATAAAAGAATGGAACTTCCTTTCATGACTTGACTCTGCTGTCCCATTATCCAGGCCACTTAGGTCAAGAAAGGCCTAATGAATTGAAAAAAAAAATTATGGTAAATGTATTTCATCCAGAAAATTGCCTTCGGAATTAGTTGTCCTCTGAAACAAATCTGGAGATAAAATTAAATAAGCTGGAAACATTTTCATGCTGCTTTTATGTCACACATCAAAACCCCATATGTGATAATTCTCTTGAAAATACAGTATGTTCAAAGCTTATAAGGTTAAGTCATATCTATTTTTAATTGATTTTTAAACAGTATTCAGCTCAATTGTCAGGTACATTCTGATAATTTCTGGAGGTTTGTGGGTGTTTTAAAATCCCTAAAAGCTTGTGTTCTCTTCTGTCCTATGAAGAGCTGGAATAGCTGGTAATAGAACAAAGTGCATTTTTAAGGCTGTCATATTAAAATAATTTGGTGCACTAATTCTCAAAGTTTTTTCCAAACTTAAAGACCTTAAAAAAACCTTAAACACAGAAAATGTGTCTATGAAAATCAGGCTTTTTCCTGTGTCTCTCTTCAAAAGAAGTTTGTAGACCACACACTGAAAACTGTGATTATTACTAGAATAAGGATCTCTTTCCCATTTTGCTATCAAACACCATCAGGGGACCTGCTTCTCCCTGTTCCTTGTTTTCTCATCTCTTCAGTGGGAATATTGTTTATCTACAGAGCTGATGCATTAAAAACCATAAGCAAAATGTCAATCCCCTCAGCAAGATGTTGGAAGTTGTCTGGTACAAGGTGCTGATCTGTGGCAGTACCTGTAGGAGTTTTTGCAGTACCCAGACAGCCTGGTACTGGTTAAAGTGGCCTGGGAAGGTGCTCAAACCACAGCTCAGATCAATGAATCTGCACCATAAATAACACAGCTAGAAAACAAGCTCTGTTTCAAGCACACCAGCACGTTTTACAAATATTGTAAATGTTAGTGACAATTTCCGGGTTAATAAAAAATGCCAAGTTTCAAATGAATAAGCAATTTCCCTGTTTCCACAGAAGTCAGCTAAAATTACACCCTGCACACTGTGTAAATCTCTGAGATCTTCAGCTGAGATGGTGGAGGGCACAAATAACTTGGGGAAGACGGAACTGTTTTGTTCTGTTAACTGTTTGTCAGCATACAGAGTAAAAATGATCACTTCTTCAGGTAAGCTTCTCCTTTTACTTCTATAGAAACTTCATTTCCTGTGGCTCATATCCCAGCTTTATTTGTCTTGAAAGTTAAGGCTGATATTCTTTTTTGGGTGGGTGGGAAGTGATTTTTTAAGTGCTGAGATGGGAATGAAAGGGCATTCTATTGTAGATAAATGCAGCAGTGATAGTATAGCTATTTCAGTTTTGGTTTTAGGGAACTCCACATGATAACCAATCTTAAATCTGTTTTATTTTGGTCTTGCAAGTGCAGCTGGTGGATTTTCCAGCTAGACAAACCTCTTGTGTGGACATGTGCCATCCCACTGCTGGGACTCTCCTGGCCCTTGTTCCCTGGGGTGATCAGCTTTATTACCTCTGCCCAATGTTGCATAGAGCTAGGCAAACATTCTCAGCTATTTTTCATGTAAAAATAGAAAAATGCTTACTGACATCCTAGGGATACTGGGAGATTAATTAAATTTCTGGCAAGCAACAGGCACAGCAGCTGCAGTGTCTGCTTCTGAATCTGTGGAAACATCATCGTGGGCTTCTGTCTGTGCCTTGGCTCATCACTCAGACTCTGTTTTTGTATGCACTGTGCAAAATTAGCTGCAATACAACTTGATGTTGCATAAATCACTTTTTCTTCTCTGTTTCACCCTCAGGTGTTCAAGTTCAGTGCAACAGCTGTAAAACCTCAGCAAACCCTCAGTATCACTTGGCTATGTCAGATGGGAGCATACGAAATTTTTGCAGCTACAATTGTGTAGTAGCTTTTCAGGTGTGACATCTAGGATTTCTTCTTAGCTGAATTAACAGAATGCTAAATTGATGGTGGAAGTACCCAGGTGTAAGATGGAACCCTGTAAAGTAAAGCCTATTTCTTTGCTTTCCCACAGAATCTGTTCAACAAGCCTACAGGACTGAACTCCTCGGTGGTGCCCCTGTCTCAGGGCCAGGTCATTGTCAGCATCTCCTCGGGGACAGTCTCAGGCACTGGCACCACCTCAACTGTGTCCCCCAGCTCCACGAGCAGCCCAGCTGCAGCAGGGCTCCAGAGGTTGGCTGCCCAGTGCCAGCAGGTCACCTTTACCCGTTCTGTTGTGAAAATCAAGTGTCAGCACTGTAACAGATCATTTGCCACCAAACCAGAACTGCTTGACTACAAGGTAATAAAGATCAAGGCTTTCAAAGCTCTTTTTTCAGAACCAAAACTCAAAAAATCGTAGTTTATGTGCATTGGTCTGTCAGTACTGCTTTGTTGCTTGCACAGACCTGCTATGAAGGGTTTTGAAACTCATTTGGTTTAACCAACATCAAATTAATACTGATACTATCTCTATAGTCTTAAAACCAGAAAAAAAAGAACTCCAGAAAAAAATCCCAAACCAAACAATTGCCTGTCTAAATAAACACATCCCTGTCCTCTTGTACCTTTTAATCCAAGGACAAAGACCATTGGTGAGGGCTTTCTGCAAGAAATTTTGCTTTATTATAAAACTAAATAGGGAGACTCATCTGCCAGTGCTCTGTTGCTGATTTCTAAGGGTATAAATACTCTTCTGCGTTTCTATTAACAATTTAAATGTATTATCTGGGATGTGACTCATTCAAACACTGAAACCAAAACATTCTGGCTGTGTTGCAGGGTAAAATGTTCCAGTTCTGTGGGAAGACCTGCTGTGATGAATATAAGAAGAAGGGCAATATGATGGCTTTGTGTGAATACTGCAGGTTTGAGAAAATTATCAAGGAGACAGTGAGAGTCTCAGGCATAGATAAAACATTCTGTAGTGAAGGTAAGAAAGGGCAAAACCCTGCCTCAAAGAAATCAAGTCACAAGTGTTTTGCCTAAAAATTATCAGTAATACTAAAAGAAATCTAATATTTTTAAGTTAGGAATCTGTTTTTTAGGTTTAGGAACACAGAACCCTGTTCACAGTTTACATTTTAATGGTATGTTTCAATGAATTATTAGAGACATCACTTAGTACAGGAATTAGAGAATTAAAGAATATTTTTGCTGTTTTCTTTTAGTTTGTAAACTGCTCTATAAACACGACTTGTCCAAGCGCTGGGGAAACCACTGTAAAATGTGCAGTTACTGTTTACAAACCTCCCCCAAACTGGTCCAGAATCACTTTGGGGGGAAAACAGAAGAATTTTGCTCAGAGGAGTGCATGTCTAAATTCACTGTTTTGTTTTACCAGGTAAGCTATATTCTCACATCCTCTAGGTTTTTATACCTGTACCCCTTGTTGGTGTTTCCAAATGTATTCAATTTCTCCCTCACTCTGTTTTCCTAGATGGCAAAGTGTGATGGTTGTAAGAGACAAGGTAAACTCAACGAGTCCATCAAATGGCAAGGGGAGATGAAGCATTTTTGCAATCTGCTTTGTATTCTGTTGTTCTGTAAACAGCAAGGTGCTCCTGACCCTCCAGTCCCAAACAACACAGGTAAAGCAGCCTGGGGATGGTGTTGCCTTTTGATGTGTGGGGTAGTGAGATGGATGTTTATCTGCAAATTCACTTCAGTGAACTCTTTAAGATCTGTCTTCTCCTGGGGAGCTTTTCTGTTGCTGCTGAGTGGGCTCTGGTTTAGATCACTCTTACTTGAGACCATTTCAAACTTCTGTAGGTGTGAAATGCAAGTGCTTTGTGTACCAAACAAATTTTAAAGAAGATGAAGCAAAAACACTTGCTTTCAGTCACTTTCATGAAACAAAAACCTGCTTCATTGGGGTAAACTCTGCTGATATTTAGTGCAGACATGTTAAATATCTAGCTCGTCTTCATAACACCAAGAAGATATGGTAGAATGTTAATATTCTTTTAACAATCAAGTGGTGAAATTAATAGACTTAGTGGTTTTAAATACAGACTCCTATATATGCACTTAAACCAGCCACTTCTGTGCAGTCTGTAGGCATATGAAGACTTCCCATTTTGTGTCATAAAGTGTTTATTCTTGGGAATTATCAATCCCAAAGTGTACAAGTGCTGTAGCTGTTTCCTTGAGCAGGTGGAATGGGAGTAAGGGTAGGAATGAAGCCCACAGGAACAGGAACTATGAATTTCTGTAGAGACACAAAGAGATGAAAGGCCCTCAAAGATAGGAAGGAAAAGGGAAAGAAAAAACAGGAATATCACTGATCTTAAAGAGGGGCATAATTTCCCACTGAGTGGCTGCAAGAGTAGGATACCCAAAACCAATAAATATTAACTGGCAGTTTTTAGGCCATGGTGCACATTGTTTGAATTTGGGGCAATCTGCTGCTGACATTGGTGGGTGCTCTTTTCCCTTCTTGCTTGATTTGCTTGTGGAAGTAGCTCCTGTTTAAACTGAAATGCTGCAACTCGACACCTACATCCCCTTCTCACACAGCAGCCTCTTCCACCTGGAGACAGATCTGAAGGGTGGGTGTTGTTTCAGAAATGCTTTTTTTCTCAATTATCTTACTGCTTATTCTCATTTTCTTCTGTCCACTGTGTCCAGCAAACCTTTCCATGGCACCAGCCTCCTCCTCAGGCCCTCCTTCTTTAAGAAAGGACTCAACCCCTGTCATAGCAAACGTGGTGTCCCTTGCAAGCACCCCAGCTGCCCAGCCTACTGTTAACTCCAACAATGTTTTACAGGGTAAGGCAGCTGAATACCATGCCTGTACTTTTACATCTCTATTCCTGAACATTTATATTTGCTCAGGGATTTTACTGAGAACAACGGCCACTTCTTCATTATGCTTCACATCGCTGCAGATGATTGCTTTTGTCCTTCCTTTATCTAGGGATAAATAATGACTTAAATTTATGTACATACATCAGGGAATGAGTTTTAATTGGAATTCTTTTTCTTGACCTTGGCAGAATATGGATTGTTGTTCTTGATGATAAGTAGACATGTTATTTTATGGGTTTTTTTTTTCCTTCACAGGTGCAGTCCCTACGGTGACAGCAAAAACAATAGGAGATGTAAGTTTTACAAGACTTTTTTCAGTTTTCAGATTGTATCAATAACAAGTAAATTATCCAAGAATTTGGCACAATCATTTTGTAACTAATTTTTTATGGGGATTAAAAATTCATCCAGCTTGCAGATGCTTTTTTTAAAAATTGATAGAACTTAGATGGTACAAAAGCCTTGTGTCCACTGACAGATTGGATATTTTAAGGCAAAACTTAAGATTGTAGCTCTTGAGGTGTCTGTGGTTCCCAAGTAATTCATGTGTGGTTTCTGCACTTGAGGCTGCCTTTTGTGCTCAGAAATGGGATAGAATAGCAAAAGGACCAGCCTGGGCTGCTGGGACTGACATGACCAAGCTCCTGCAGCTTCATTTTCCTTCCCCACCCCCTGGCAGTGTGGTACAGAGCTGTGGGGAGCCCCTGTCACCACTTATCTGGGGATAACTCTGAGAGTCCCTATTCCTGAGCCCTTTGAGGTATGTGGTGTAACATCTTGCAACTCTCCTAAAATCAGAGATGCTTTTATGTAGCTTTAGGTTCTGGAAGACTGACAGCTTTGCTTTTAGCTGGAGTGTCACTTATGAATTAGAGTATGAGTTTTCCCTCTTGAAATAGATCCTATTATTTGAATGCATGACTGAAAATTACAGTTAGCAGGACATTAGTACAAGCATGAATAGTCAGTCTGTGTGTATCAGGAAATGATACTGCTGCTGCCAGCATTGCTGTTCCTTTTGTACATTTATTTGTTTTCAGTGGTTTCACATTAGTTTACTCAGTTTTATCGGTGTCTGTATCAGCCAGACTTTTAGTCATCAAAAGTATCTTAGCATAATTCCTCTTTATATCTCTGCCATCAGTAAAATTCCAAGGTCAAAAGTTTATAGCAGTTATTTGATGACAGAAACCAAATATTCTTGCGGATTTGTTCACTGCACTGTTAACAAAATAAGCTTTATTAGCAAAATTAGCTTTAAACAACATCATTGTTGAATCAAATTAAATTAAGATGGAGACCAGAAAGCACCAAATAAGCAAGCTTATTTTGCAGTAGTTTTTAAATGATCATTTTTATCAGCAAATACAGTTTTAAATTGTTCAGCTTCCCCTAGTATAGAACAAACTCTAGTCTTATGTTATCTTTCAAACCAATACTGACTCGACCCTCCTTTGTGTTTTCCAAACAGGCAAGTACCCAGACAGATGCCCTAAAGCTCCCATCATCAAAACCACCCAGGCTTCTGAAAAACAAAGCTTTATTGTGTAAGCCCATCACCCAGACTAAGGCCACCTCCTGCAAACCTCACACACAAAACAAAGAATGCCAGACAGGTGGGTGTGTGATCTCCTACCCCTGTTGGAATTGTCTGTACTGCAGTTGAGAGAGTAATACATGATTTATGTAACAGAGAGTATTTTTGAATGTATAATTAAACCTTAACTAGTTTTCAGGTTGTTGTATGGTATTTCCAACAATTTTTTGTCTGTTCTGTTTTTGGTATAACAGAAGGAGAAGAAGCACCTGCTCAACCCCAGATCATTGTGGTACCTGTTCCTGTACCAGTGTTTGTGCCAGTGCCCCTCCACCTCTACACCCAGTACACACCAGTTCCCCTGGGGATGCCAGTACCTGTAAGTTATGCTGCAGTTCACCACTGAAGGCAGTGGTTTACAGGCTTGTTTTACATCCAGCGCACCCAGCACTGCATCACTGGGTGCTGTGTCTGCTCATGCAAGTGGTATTTGGAGTCCTTGATGCCATTTCCCTCCTTATTACATCATATTTGGTTAAACATCATCACACAAAACTACCAAATTAGGGAGAGTACAGAGCTGTCCAGTCTGGAGTTATTTTTAATTTCATTTTAGTAGTCCTAAGATATACATAAGGTTAAATGGGAGTGACCTCCTGAGGTGTATTTGCTGTTTCCCTTCACCCCTAAGTATGTTCTGATATTTTCCACATGTTCCATAGGTACCAGTTCCCATGCTCATCCCAACCACCCCGGATAATGCTGATAAGATCATTGAAAATATTCAGGAAAACAAGGAAAAGATTTCCATTAATCCATTTGAAGCTGATCTCCTTCAGATGGCAGAAATGATTGCAGAAGATGCAGAGAGAGAAAAAACACACTCTCATGGTGGTAGGTGGTGGTTTTAAAGAGGATATGAAATGCAATGAGGTGAAGGTCTTCTCACCACAGAATTTCCCTTTCCCTCATTCTACAGGCTGATTTGACTTGTGGTGACAGGGACAGGTTACCAGAGGTAGAAACCTCCAGATCAGTACAAGATGTGTTAGAAGAGTCAAAATCAAGAAGACAGAGCAGCTGCCTTGAAAGAAAATTTTCCTATCAGGCTTTTTATGGAGGGTGAGGCAGGTCAGAGTTTGTTGGAGAGCAACCAATCCATGTAATGAAAGTGAAACAAGCTGGAAAGACATAAACAAAATATCCTACTGGTCTACAGATGACTCAAATAACAGGGAGGGATGGAAGGAAAAGCAAACCCAAACCTATGTTAGTTGTGATTTCTGTTTCCCCTGCAATAGCATGACCAAGGTAGAAAGCTGCTAGGAGAGCTCCAGTGGAGGAGAAGGCATAGCATGTGTGTTCATGTTATGACCTAATAGATAGGTTTTTGCTGTTCAAAGTATTTTGTATTAGTTGTGCAAACTGTCAGCCACGTGTAGATACAGATTTCCTTCTTTTTCTAAAGGATCTCAAACATCTGAGCACGAGCTCTTCCTGGACCCCAAGATATTTGAGAAAGGTCAGTCAGATTTCTTTATTTTACGAATGGATTTTGATCCTGCTGCATCTTTTCTTGCAAACTCCTGGTTCTGCCTTTCCTGTAGCACATGGTCCCTGTGGTCCCTCTCGTTGCAGACCAGGGCAGCACGTACAGTGGAGATCTGGAATCAGAAGCAGTGTCCACCCCTCACAGCTGGGAGGAGGAGTTGAATCACTACACCTTACGGTCCAATGCCCTGCCAGAACCTGATCCAGAGCTCAAGCAGTTCTCCAAAGGTGATGTGGAACAGGATCTGGAGGCAGATTTCCCATCAGGTCGGTGTCATGTGAAGTAAAACTCATTGTTTTATAAAAGCACACACAGTTTTCTGCATGAACATTGTCCCAGCAGCCTGCTTGTGCATTTTCATCTAGTGACAGTGGATGTTTAAAGCTGCAATAGTTGATCACATCTACAAAATATTACTATTTTTAGAATATTACTGCTGTCTTTAAGACAGCACTCTGCAGAACCCCTGACAGGAGTAGCAGGAAGTTCTGGCTTACCTCCTTTGAATTCATCACTTCTGTGTCCCTGGGTATAATCCATGTGGAGTAGTTGCTAAGATATTTGCCTGAATAAATACACCCACTTTTTGGGGGGCTTTTATGTCCTACTGAGAATTTGCTATCTTTATACAGCAAATGCACGGATTGCTAAATTAGTCAAATGTCAGGATTACTTGAATATACAGGTGTGATTGTCAGCTGTAAGGTGTTCCATAGTATCTCAGTGACAGTGACACTTCTACCTGGGCTGAGAAATCATGTGATTAAACTCTTCATGGTGTTGATTTGACTCCAGACTCATTTGACCCTCTCAGTAAAGGACCGGGTTTACATTCACGTTCACGGGCAAGACGGAGACACAGGGATGGCTTCCCCCAGCCAAAAAGAAGGGTAAGGAATGACTTCTGCAACACAAATCCCTTCTGTTTTGAAATAACCACATCATGTGCCCTAATCTAACCAGCCATGGATGAGGAGCTGATGAAATGCTGCTTTGTTTGGATGTCTTTGCTTGCCTGTAGGGACGGAAGAAGTCTGTGGTTGCTGTGGAGCCCCGGAGTTTGATGCAGGGCTCCTACCCTGGCTGCTCTGTTTCTGGGATGACCCTAAAATACATGTATGGGGTAAATGCCTGGAAAAACTGGGTCCAATGGAAAAATGCACAGGAGGAACAAGGGGACCTGAAGTTTTCAGGTAAATTTGTCTCTCAGTGGAAACAGAAATACATAGTTGAAGAGCATTTGGCTTGATTCATTGTTCAGGTGAAAATTAGGATTAGATACCACTGAGTTTTGCAATGCCCATTAGTAGAGAATAGATTTTATAGAATTTGGTCTTGCATCTTTCCATGCATTTAAAAATCATAGCTATTACATTCTTAATTGATATGTTTCCTTTAAAAAAAGTCTTTAAAGCACTAGAAATCTCCACATTGCCTTCCTTTGCATGCAGTAGTTCTTCATTTGCAGCACAGATGCTTTCTGCAGCTGCACAGCTTTTCTGAGCTATTATAGAACCATGAAATTACAGATCTATCAGGCCATAATTCTAAGTTGACAGCACCAACTTGGCCCCATCCATTTTATCTGCAGCTGGCACATTCCCAAAGTATTTGTTGGTCAGCAGAACTGTTTGCTGTAAAAAAATCATGTGATCCAACATCAAAATCTTCACACCTTATTTCTAGGCTTCACAGCTGGAAAGAAACATTTCAAAAGCCTGCCCATTCTGTGCTGCAACCTGCCTGAAACTTTATTGCTCCTCATGTCTCACAGAGGGGATAGATAACAATGACAATTAAATACAATTTTGTTTATTTTTCCAATGATTAATTTTTTATTTTTTGTTTTTTACAAAAGCCCAGCAGAACTGGGATTTGGCAATGTCTAACTCCCCTTTTCCCTGGTCTCAGATCTTACTGATCATTGCACTGAGTTTTGTGGGCAAATTTTCAGAGTCAAGCAGAGCATTTAAATTAGGAATAGTATTGAACATAATAAATACTTCTGCAGTTTAAAGAACTAAGCATGATAGGACTTAGATAAGAAAGACCCACAAAGGGAAAAATTCTAGTTAGGATGAGATCTGCTTTTTCATCTCTTACTTGGAATTTTTGTTGTCACTCCATGAGAACAGCTGGGGTTTATTTCCCAGAAAAGGAGTATTCACATGAGTTACTATGTTTTCTTCTTGAGGCCAAAGAAGTAAATATTACAGTCATTTCTAGGAAACTGTGCCCAGAAAGATTCCCTGCTTATTCCCAAACAGGCATTTCTGAGGTGTGGAGCAGCCAAGCCTGGTAATTTCATTGCAGATTATTTGATCAATCAATTCCTGGTTGTGCTGCTTCCCTTTCCAAACCTGCATGGTCCCACTGAACTCTTCCTTTAAGTGGGATCTGCTGCACTCAACTCATGGTTAGAAATACTCAGGATCTTTTTCTGATTCTGGAGTGAGTCTCTCTCTCCCCTGAGTCCAGCTGGAGGAGTGAAATCCATTTATCAGCCTCGAGCTCATTGCAGCCATTGCTGTCCCACATTTTGGGTTCAGCAGACTCCCAAACATTTACATGTCTGGACTCCAAATTCCTGCAACCTCAGTACTCATTGTAACATTTATACTGATTGCACATGCAGCTGGGCTGGGTTTTATTGGCCAAATCATTCAGTTCTCAGCCAACAGATAGGAAGGAGTTCACCATTTAATCATACAGGGTAATTCATGTATGAGACAGGAATTTAGGAGTTTTGCCTACATGAAATAATAAGAAAAGTGGGAAGATTTAATGTGCTGAATTAATTTTTCTGATCATTTCTTTGACCCCAGTTCATCCTGTGAAGCTCAAGGAGGACATTCTCTCATGCACATTTGCTGAGCTGAGTTTTGGTTTGTGCCAGTTTATTCAAGAGGTGCGGAGACCAAACGGAGAAAAATACGACCCTGACAGCATCTTATACTTGTGCCTTGGAATTCAGCAGGTAACTCTGGGATTGGGGCACTGCTGAGAACATACAGAACTGCTCTGGTCACTTATGGGACATCCACAGCCCCACAGAGCAGCTTGGGCTTTCTAGAGGAGGCAAGAATGTCTATTTTTGTGTTTCATTGTTTGCCTTAGTCCTATGTAGGACCCATTTTTCTGGATTTTCTTATGGTCACAGTGACCAAGTTCTTCTGTCCTTTTATAGGAGTGTGATGTTGGGGCTGAGTGTTTCTACCTGGACATAAGTACTTGGATTTGGGACTTTTTGGATTATTTTTCATGTTTAGGAAATATTTGCTCCTCAGAAATTCTTGTTTTAAGATGGAATGGTTTAGAGCTAAAATAATTGCACAGAGCTCTTCCAATATATAACTTGATGTGGAAGAGGTTGCCCAGGAAGGATTCTCAGTGACAAGACAGATACCTCTGGCAATATTTACAGAGAAAATACACTGGGAATAACTGCATTGTAATTAGTGAATACTAAGAAAAATGTAGTAAGTCCTTATTACCAGCCTTGCAACAGTAGCAGTACAATCTTATAATAATGCTGATTTGTGTTTAAAACTCCATGTTCAGTACATTTCTATTTCCTTTAGGACAGCCTGCTTGGTCCTGTTCTGAAACAGTCATTTTGAGATAAAGAGTCAAAAGCTGTTTTGACATAAAACCTATTTAATTAGACATCAAATTATCTTAATTTTTTTTCCCTTGCTATGCTTGGAGAAAGTATAGAAAGAGTTAAAATTCAAAGTGCCATTGATAAGTTCTCAGAGTATCAGGGATTTTTGTGTCACAGTTTTGACTTATTTATTGACAAACTCCTTTTAGAAAACTTTTTTTAACTGCTCCTTGAAAAGTTTAAGGAACTTTTCTTCCTTGGTGCTGCAAGTTGAGCAATTTCAGCAGCCTCTGTCTCTTGTCAGGAGGTATTAACATGTAAAGTTCATTTCAACAGAAAAATTCTCAATAACTATTCTGGTTTTTATAGGCAGACTCCTTCAAAAATATTAAGACGAATATGATTTTGCAGGAAACAGCTCTAGAGCTTGAAATATTAACCACAGTTCTTGCTGAGATCTCTCCTTTCATACTGGAGTGGTCCCAGTCCCTGCAGAAAATTTGATTTACTGTTTTGCTGGAGATTTCACCAAAGTGTTTGGCCCCATAAGCCACTGGGAGATAAGAAAGGAAAAGAATTTGATGTGCTGTATCTTCTCTACACTGTTCTATAATCATAAACTGGTTTTCTTGCTGTTTTTTTCTCTTGCAGTACCTGTTTGAGAATGGTAGAATAGATAACATTTTCACCGAGCCCTATTCCAGGTTTATGATTGAACTTACAAAACTTTTGAAAATCTGGGAACCTACAATTCTTCCAAATGGTAGGACAATGCTTTTGTTTTATGTATCTGCATGGCACAGCTGTATCATAAATGAATGTTTTCTCAGGGCCAGGAAGGGAATGTGATCTGAAGCTCTCACATTAGTCTCCCCTCTCTACACCATGGATTTTATGTCTGTTTTTAGCAGTTATGATTACAGTTAAATGTATCTTTGCCTCTGGAGAGAAAGGATTTCCATTCTGGCACTCAGCACATTTGTTTTCTTCTTCCCTCAAGTTTTAGCTCTTTTTTTTAATACAAGTAGCCAGAATTTAATTCTGTATTTGAGATGAGGTACTGCAACATCTGTGTATATTTCCCTATTAGTGCAGGAAATACTCCTGGTGAGTTTGGGGATCACATTAACAAATCATTGGAATCTTGTCTCAAGTCCAAATTAATACTTCCCAAATTCTGCAGCTACTTTTATTTGGTTTTCAAGCCTGATTATGTGGTTTATAGAGCTGAACCCCAGCCCAATGAGCACACAACATCTTTAGAGTATCAGTGAAATTTGAATAATGTTGGCAACTCCACAACTGCCTTTTCATTTAGAAAAATGAACTTTTTATTTCATACAGAAATAATCCAGTTACCTATAGTTTGCTGCTCACTGTGACTTTTTTTTACAACAAATTTCTTCTAAGCCCCCACATCTCCCTTTCCTGATTTAGGATAATCACAATGGGCTATTTATACATAAAATGGGACATTTTAAACTCATACTTCGTGTTGTAGTTATTACACGTTGTTGCAGTTGGCTGACTGTGGCTTAATTACAGTGAAATTAGAACTTAGTGAGAATCTGCTGGTGTCTGCAGTTCCTTTTTATCCTTCTCCTCAGGTATTGGAAGATCATGCTGTTCCACAGCTTGGTTCTCCCTGCTCCCTCTTAACGTTTGTGCATGCAATATTCTGGTTTTATTGGATTACAGTTGCTGATGATAGGTGTGAATTTGATTTGATATGTGGTTCACGAATAGAGGTTAGCTGAAAAAGGATTTATATGCATAAATAACTATTTTCTTTTTTCTTTACCCATTCTTTATAGGTTATATGTTCTCAAGAATTGAAGAGGAACACTTGTGGGAATGTAAGCAGCTGGGTGCATATTCCCCCATCGTTTTGTTGAACACTCTTCTGTTCTTCAACACCAAATATTTCCAACTAAAGAATGTCAGTGAGCACCTGAAACTGTCCTTTGCCCATGTTATGAGGCGCACCCGAACTCTCAAGTATAATACTAAGATGACATATTTACGTTTTTTCCCACCCTTTCAAAAACAAGAGGTAGAATCAGGTGAGTGCTCTCTTATCATTGGTGTTTGGGCAGTCACATTTGTGTGGTGTGAATTACAGAATCAGAGAGTTCTGTGATTTTGTATTGTCTGCTTCTCTTTTGAAAAGGATTGGGGAGAAATGTGTTCTGCAGTAAGCAGACCTGAGCATATGCTGCTATCCTGAATACATTTGCAGTATTTTCACTGCTTTAAACAGAAATTCTCAAAGAGCCAAGGCACCCAGGGAAAACTTACAAAAGTGTCACAGATTTGGCTGCAAATTTGTTTAAAGTCTTTCATAACATCCTCAACTTGCATAAAGCTCTATTAATACTGCAGGAGTTAAAGGCCTTTCCTGAAGTCCTTTTCTCAGCACTTCACAATCTTGGGTTTTGCAGGTCCAGACCTTTATTGTGCCATTTTAATTCCCATATTTATCCTGGGTCTGTGTGTGGGGCAGGCCCAGTGGAGAACAACAATATGAGGCTTGTACTTAGAGACAAAGATACACAGATTTTTGTTCTCAATTAATTTTGGCACTTGGGAAGGGGAAGTCTTTGTTCCTTTTGGCTTCTTCAGTTCCTAGCTCCAGTGCATTACATGAATTCGTCTTTAATAACTAAAATTATATCCTCCATATTTTCCTGCTCGTTCTTATGGGTTTTCTAGATGAGGAATGGGCTGTGGACCTGGCCTGTAGGATGTGCAGTCCTTGCCCACACAGCAGATCACACAGGTGACCATGGCTGGATGGTGACACGGGACAGAACCAGTTCAAGGAGTGGGTTTGGGTGATGCAGTCACCACTGGGTGCTGGGCTGAGATGCCAGGCCTTGTTTCTGAAGGTGCTGCTTTTCACTGAACTGCTGTGATGCCATTTTTGTGTATCCAGATAAATTATCAGTAGGCAAGAGGAAACGCAGTGAAGATGAGGAGGTTCCCACAGCAGTGGAAATGGCTGAAAACACAGATAACCCCCTCCGGTGCCCAGTCCGACTCTATGAATTCTACTTATCAAAATGGTGAGTGACAGAACTTGAGTTTTGGTCTGTGTGTAGATTAGAACAGGCATTTGGGCAAGGAGCCCACTCAGACATTCTGTGCCTGTGCTTTCCCAATCCCTCAGTGGGAGCAGAACAGGAATTCCAACAGCAGCACTGCTCTGAGACCCCCAAACAGCTTTTTATTTTGTTTGTTACTCATGTTGAGTCAAGAGCAGAGTTACAGAGAGAGATGTATTCTTTAAATAAATAAATTCTTTGATATAAATGTGAGACATTACTACAGTGCCCATGGCATTCTCCTCTCCCTTAATTCCCACACACCATCCTTGTTGTGAGGAGATTATAACTAACACCCAAGGAACATCATGTTTCTCGTGAAAGAGTATAGGAGAAGAGTGAATTAGGTAAAACTCCTGATAAATTTTACCTGCTGAGATGTGAGATTAACTTGTGTTTAGGAGTTAGGAAGGAGACTATAGCAAGGACAGAGATATAAATCATTTTTCTCTCCTGTTTATATAGAAACTTTACTTAGATCCTTGAGCAGGTGGAAGGTGATGTTCTTCTCTCTTCAAAGGAAATACACATATAAAATGAAACAGCATTTCATTAGTGTCAGCTGAAACTCAGATAAATCATCCTCAGAAATGTATCTGCTGAGCTTACTACAAATGTCCCATTCCTGAGGCAGAGGCAGGCGCGCAGCTGTCCAGACTCTTTCTCTCCCTCTTCTTGCCTTCCTTGTCTTCACTGGCACATTATTAGAAGCTTTTATTTGTTCTTGGGTTGGGGAAGCATTTTCCTGTTCCCCATCATATTTCATAGCTCAGCCTCTGCAGTGGTGTAGGCAGCAGTACAAATTTCCTTTGCTGTTTTGGTGTGATTATCCCAAAACCAGGCAGGAGGGACTCAGAGCCCTACCAGAGCCTGGAGGCTGCCTTGGAGTCAGTCAGGCTTTCAGGCAGATGGGCTCAGCATTGCAGCATGGCCAGGCAAGCTGGGATTTGGTTTTACTCACTCTTAGACACCGCCTTAGAATCATTTAGGTTCAAAAAGCCCTCTAAGCTCATCAAATTCAGCTGTTCCCTCAGCACTGCCAAGGGCACTGCAACCCATGTCCCCAGGTGCCACATCCACCTGGCTGTTAAATCCCTCCAGGGACAGGGACTCCAGCACTGTCCTGGGCAGCAGGGCCAGGGCTGGACAGCCCTTTCAGTGAAGAAAGTTTCACCAATATCCAGTCTAAACCTTGAGGCCATTTCCACTTGTCCACAGTATGCAGCAATTCTGGAATCCCAGAACCAGTTTAACTCAGAAATTGCATGTGAAATGTGAAATACCATTAATTGGATGACACTGAAGAACCACTGCTGTAATGAAGTTACTTTGATTTTCTTTGTTTCTTTAAAAGCAATTAATGCTGGGTGACCTGGAAACAACTTAACTGTTCCCTCTTAAGAAGGGGGAGACGGTGTTGCCATGCCAATGTAACTTTGATTTCTTTGCTGATTCTCTATTAAACGGTTGGTAAGATTGTAAATGCATCCTAAACTGTGTTTCCTTTGCCTTGGCAGTTCTGAAAGTGTGAAGCAGAGGAGTGATGTGTTCTACCTGCAGCCCGAGCGCTCCTGTGTTCCCAACAGCCCCATATGGTATTCCACATTGCCAATAGACCCAGGAACCTTGGACATCATGTTAACAAGGATTCTTATGGTGAGGGAGGTACACGAAGAACTTGCCAAAGTCAAATCAGAGGACTCTGATATTGAGTTATCAGACTAACTGCAGTGGGGTATTTTCCTTTGAATACACATCAGAAGCACCAAAATGTGAATACGTCCAGCCTTTGGAAAATGTGTATCAAATAAGCCAAGATAACGTCACCTACAGGCAGATTTTGTACCACAGTGGATGTACAAACTGGAACTGGAAGGAAGCAAAGGAAGCAAGCTGTGTAAGCTGCAAATCCCAGCCTCCTGCAGCACCAATCAATCCTCAGAACAAATCCAAGTGGAACTCACCCATTGGATTGGTGCATAAATCCTTTATCTGTTTAGGAATTTTTAAAAGTTGTGAGATATTTTTAAGGAAAATGGTTGTGTAAAATCTACCCTCACACTGGCGGGCATGGAGAGCTAGATTGTGGCTCAGGTGACTTCCCAGCCTGCTGGCAGCCCTTGCTGCCAAGGAACACTTGGAGATCCTTGAGCTCTTCCAGAGGATACGAGAGAAAGGGGTGAGGTTTAGACAAACAGACACCTTCCGTTATAAATACACCTACACCTACACTTTTATAATTTTTTTGTTTTTTGAAAACTGGGATCAAAATGTTAGGAAGGCAGGAGCCACTGACCATCCCAAGGGACAACTCTGGCTGCTCTTAACTGGTCACACAAGACCAGACTCCAGCTCCCGCTCCGGGCTCACACCAACTCTAGCTGTGTTGGAAGAGGTGCTGCAGGTCAAACTTCTGAGTGACCTTTGGGGAATGTCCAGGAGGGGATGTCCTGGGCTCTGTGCAGAATTCCCTGCCCAGCCCAGTAGCTCTGCAGTCTGTCCATATAACCCAGTGAATACTGTGGTGCGTGGAAAGTTTATTTCCCTTAAGGCAGCTTTCCTTTCTCCTCTTTCCCTACTCCTATGGTTTTGATTCTTTTGTAAGGCAAATCTAGAGAGGGCTTTGTCATTTCAAACAGGAATACACACACACACACACACACACACTCTTCCTCTTTCCACCTTTGCAACACGGGCAGTGTTGTGCAAAGGATGCAGTATTACTTCTGACAACAGAACTGTGGTAGAAAATGACCATGTGTGTTTTTATCCCGCCCCACCCAAAGAGATTTAGTCATAGTGTTGGAAATTGAAAGAGATTTTTTTTTAAGGCTTGGCTGTTACTGAGTCTTTTGGAAGAGTAAAGCTCCCATGTGGTGTTTAGAGGACAGGACATTATCAGATACTGTCTGTATCTCTGTTTTCTCAAGCTCTAGGTGTGTGTTTCTGATGAGCAGTGGTCACAAATTCATTGGAAACCCAAGCTATTTTTGAAGAGGAGAATTATATGGTTTTTATCTAGTTCTGGTCAGTTATCCATCTTCTGTAACAAGGGTCTGATATTTGAGCTTGTCACTAAAATTTCAAGAGATGAAAATCAACAGCCTTGAATAATATTTCAGGTTTTTTGTTTTGTTTTGGTTGGTCGTTTTTTTTTTATTATTATTTTTTTAGCAGTTACAAAAGTAATTTAACAAAAATAAAATCAGAAAGTAGTCTATTGACGTTGTGTACTCGGTAGTCCTGTCCCTGCCTGTAACAGATTTCACTGATGTATTTTTTAATACAGAAAATTATGTGAAAAGTAAAACCTGCCCCTGATTCTGTCTGACCAAAGCCCATCTGTGTCTGTCATTTGTGAGCAAAGGTTCTGCTTTCTCCATGGTCTGGCAGGGGGAGATGTTTTGGCCACTCCTCAGCACAGGGATGCTCCTGCAGCCTCAGTTCTTGCTCCATGGACACCAACCTGCCCCTCCCCGTTGTTACATTGAACAATCCCATTGCAGGCACAGTGGTTTGGATTGGGAAGGTTCAGGGAAAACAAAACCATGCTGGAAAGATCAGTTTGTAGGGGATTGAGAATGTCTGAGATGTGTCTGCTGCTCACAGGTGTGCCCAGAGCCTCGGTGGCACAGGGGAGGCTCCAGGAATTCCTGTGTTTCCTGGGCAGCTGCTGGAGGTGCTGCCTCCTTCCCTGACCCCCTGGGAATGAGCAAGGCAGCAGTGAGGACAGGCTGTGGGGAGGGCAGGATGGGGATGGGGTGAAAAATAATCCCAAAGTGTTGAGAGTTTCTTAATAGACCTTAACAGAAATATTCCCATAGAATAACGTAGGATATTTGTACCTTATGAGAAACACTTTTCTTCCTCTGAACATCCTCACTGTTTCTTGTCTGGGAACACCTTAATTGTGGTCAATTTTTTTGCAGGCACTGAGAATGAAAGATAGGCAAGTGAAATGACTTTAACTTTCACTGGCTGAGAGCAGAGTTGTTAAACATTGTGTAAACTCCTTTGGTGTGGTGGCTGTGACATGAGAAACATTTCACTGCAGTTCCATGGTAATAATTAACACAGTAAGTAGTTTTAGTTTCTATTTCACTCCTGCTTGGAGGCCCTTTGGCAATGGTCTGTTTTTCCCAGGGTCTGCCTGGGCTGTTTTTGCCTCTTGAGGGATTTCTTGTCAGCTCAACTCAAGTTCACACAGATAACAGAAGAAGGATTACCTTGAAGGATTAAAGTATATACAAATTATACACACAGGCTCAAAGTTCTGAACACAGTCTTGTTTGTAATCAACATTTCTGACTGCTGAGCACACAACATTTATTGAGATATTCTTTTAAACAAACAAACAAACAAACAAACAAAAAATCATGCTGTGTCCTGCTGAATCCTAGAGTTAACTGGGCTGGAAAAGTCCTTTGAGATCATCCAGTCCACCCTGAGACCTAACACCAGCTTGTCAACCAGGCCATGGCACTGAGTGCCTCATCCAGTGTTAAACTGTAGTTTCAGTGTGGACAGAGAATCAATAAAGATGGGTGTGAGAAAGAAAAATGGAAAACTTCCTGCTACAGGGTTCCAGCAGCTCCCAGTGCAGGAGGTGCTCAGTGCAAACCTCCTGCTCCATCCTGATTTCAGTTCACTAAAGAAAGCAACTGGGGGCACTCTGAAAGCCACAGAACTGGGTGCAAAAGGAAGTTAAATTACCTTGAGAATTATTCTGCCAACTACTGCTAAAAAAACCACTCCAGGATTTCTCTGGAGTGGTTTCCAACTCCTTGGAGACTTAAAACAGCAGCAAAGTCCCTCATCACCCGTCCCCAGCTGTGCTGCTGCCTCAGTGCCAGGGCTCACAGAGGTGACTCACAGGAATGTGCAATAAAGTCATTGGTTTTTGGTAACAATCTCAGTAACTCCCAGGTCTCCTGAGCAGCAATTTCACTGTTGCCTTAACAACCAAAGAAGGCAGAACAAATGCTCCAGCACCCAGTGCTTACTGTGCTCATAACCCTGGTATGGCTGGAACTTTGCTTCCCTCAGCACAACAGGTTCCTCCCCATTCTTCCTCGGCCTCTTGTCCTTTTTAAACATTCCAGAGGCAACACAAAGATTTTCTGCCTTCATTAAAGAGCTGCTCTGTGGCAGTACTTCCCCTGTAGCATCATCAGCCTTGTAAGATGCTATGTAAGAAATAAGTTTTGAGCCTTTAAGTTCCCAAGCATTAACCTTTGGGGTTTTTTTTTCTTTACCTGTGTATGAGCACCAAAAGTCTGTAAAAATGACAGACCATTGCTGAGGAGAAAGGCTAGAAGGAGTTTTGGGAGCACTGAAATGGGTGTGTTGTGCCTCTGAGAGCTGCAGGTCTTGTCTCATGTTGCCAGAGCTTCACACCTGCAATGGGTGAGGTGACAGAGGAGTCCCCATGGGATCCCCTCCTTTGCCTTACTGGGAAATCCCTTTGCTCCAGCACCAGAGCTGGGCAGGTAGGACTCACTCTGCTTTTGCATCTCCCCCAGGAGGAAACAATTGGTTTGGAAACGATGAGGAGGCCAAATGGTTTTGCACAATGTTACTGCATTTGTTAGGAAGTTGTCCTCAGCCCTTTTTTAGGTGGATTTTTTTAAACTAAGGGAAAAAAACACTCATTTAGTCTGACCACTGGCACCAATTTCTTCCAGCAGCAAAGCTATAAGAACTTGCCTTTTATCTTCAGTTTTCCCACCACAATCCCAAGGAGCATTCCAGAAGTTTTCTGTTGTGTTGTGCTTTCAGAGGGAACAATTTTGGACATGCCAGGAAGAGCAAGTGGCAGAAGAGCTGTTGCAAGGTGCTGGGAATGTGCTTTGGGGAGGCAGGTAATTGATGGTACATGGCAAAACACTAATATAAATACTAAGTCCCTAAGATTAATGGTTTTATATTCCAAACATCTCATTCAGGAGGTCCTTGGTGCTCAGCCACTGGCACCAGTGCTGGCTCTGCTCCAGGGAGTGTTGCACAGATGCAGAATGGTTTTTAAAGTCATAAAGGCTCAAAAGAACTTGGGCAGCTTGGATTCCTCTAGCCACAGAACTGAAATGTCCATTGGACATTACATTGCCTAAGCTAAAGGATTTTCAGCAGATATTCAACTTTTGTTAAAGACCTGGGATACCTGACTTTCACCTCTCAGATGGGAAAAGGGATTTTATGACAATGAAACAGTGAAGTTAGAGCTTTACACCCCACATCTCAAAATGAATCCCAAGAACATGGTTTTAATCTTGGGAAATCCAAGTGGATGTGGGCAGCACAAGCCACACACCCCAGCTTGGTAGTCTTGATTCTTAAATCAACCTTTGGATATGTCAACAGAGGAGCTTGGGCCTGTGAGTGCTGGGCTTTTTATCCTCTCTTCTGCCTATTTATAGCATAAACAGCCAGAGCAAATTGCAAACATCTTCTTGACCTGCTGGGAGCCAGGTTGCAGCTTTGGAGGGAAGGGTGAGGGTGGTGGCACCTGAACTTTCTCCCCAGCTAAGCCACAAACTCACCTCCAGCGCACACTTCCCGTCACTCCTGAGAATCAATGACACCTCATACCTTGTCCCTCCCAGTCTGTACCTGGGTTGTACCCTCTGTAAATTGGCCAGACTTTCCTACCTCGTTTGGGCATTACGAGGCAGAATTCCACAGGATGCTTTGCAGCCCCGTGATGAAAGGTGCTATAAAACTGCAAAGTGTTACTTCAGATGTAACTAGGTCAGCAGTGCATCATAACCTATACTAAACAGACATTTTCTAATACGAGAATTTATAGAGTTCAATCTATGGTATTCAGAAGTGAATTATTGAGACCGTAAAAAGAGTTTTTGTTTCAATTGTATCTGTATTCTGGAAAAGTGATTAAAAACCTTTAATCTTAATAAAAGAGTGCAGCCATCCTCCTTTCCTCTATGACGCTGGCATCTAAGACCAGTTTAAAAGCAGTACACAGTCTGGAAGCAGAATCTCACAGATTTCATATGGGGAGGGCTCAGCAGTTTTTAAGCCACAGTTAAAATTGCAGCTGATCACCTGCACAGCAACCCCTGGTGGTTGCCACCTGGTGTTCCCACTCAGAGTGGGTTCTGTTCCTCTGGTGTGGGCTGTAACTTCTCCCCTGCCCCAGAATGAGTGCAGGGCAGCTGGGGGCAGCATCAGCGAGCAGCTCAGTCCTGGGGACTGAGCATCCCCTGTGCCCTGTCCCCCTCTAATGCCACCATCACCCAAGAGAGCAGCCACACACAAACACCAACTCTGCCGCAAGCAAAGCACATTTATTGGCTTCAGGGAAATCCCTGCTCACAACAATCCAAAGCTTTTAAAAGGGGAGGCAAAGATCTGAGGGGTCTGTGGGGGTTTCTCAGCACCTGCATTGTGCAAGGCAAGGCTTCGGGATCAGGAACCTGCTTTGTTTCTCTTGGGTTCCTCATCTGGAGTTGTCTCCTCCTCCTGTTTGTCACCCGAGGTACTTTTTCTTGGGTTGGTCACTTGGGTTTTTATCCTTTTTTTGGGGTTGTCACTTGGAGGTTTCTTTCACTCAGTTAGCTGGGCACCGGTTGCTGCACCAGCTGAGCCCAGGGCAGCAGTCAGCCCAACTTTGGCACCAACAGAAAGACCTGCAGCTCCTGCAAAGACAAATCAAGATCTGAGCTCCCAGGAGCATCAAGGCTGCCTGCTGAGGGACCGAGCACTGGGCACAGCCAGCCAAGGACTCCTCCCGGGCAGGGAGAGCCCAGGGAGTTTGGAGCAATTCAGACCAGGGAGGGGTTCAAGGGCTGCTTCTGCTCTAGAGCCAGCATCTTTTCCTTGCCATGGAGATGAAGCCCAGCTCCCCTGCCCTCCGCACTCACCGATGGACTGCAGCACAGCCACAGTGCTGCCAGCAGCCACTCCGCCGCCGTTGGCGATGGCAGCTGCCGACATCATCTTGGCAGCGACGGAGCCAGCGGCGATGCCGGCCCCGGTGAACCCCAGCACGCCAATGAGCACCGGGACGCCAACCAGTGCCAATCCTGCAGGGAGGGCAGAGCAGTGTTAGGCTGCTCTCTGTGAGCCACATCTCCCCCTGCCACCTGCACCAGAACCGGCCTCCCCAGAAGCACCCAGGGAGCAGAGCGGGGAGCGAGGGCTGGGGCTGCAGGGACGGGGACAGCCCTGGGCACCGGGAGAGGAGCAGCGTGCAGGGCTGCAGCAGCAGGGACAGGCAGAACTCCATTCCAGGCAGCAGCCAGAGCTGCCCCTCCTCCTCCCACCTGCACCCCAATTCTCCCCAGCCCTGGTACTTGCAGTCCCCAGCCCAGCCCCGTCCCCAGGACCACGCAGGGCTGGGAGCGGGCAGTGAACCTGAGCGCTGCTCATCCAGTGCCAGACCCTCACCTGCTCCCACTGTGGCTCCAATGACAGCTCCAATGGCACTTCCATTCTTCCCTGAGAAAAAATGGCAGGAGGGGAAGAAGGACATGAGCATGGACACCAAAGCTCCCCAGAGCCAGCAGCAGCTCCTTCAGCCTCCCCCTGCTTTCATCTGCCTTTTTCCTCTGAAGAGCCCTGGGAAGAGGCCTCTGGAGGGGTGGGTCCCACTGCCCCCCCAGACTGGGAGGAAAAGGGAGAAGGGGCACACCCCGGAGTGCCCACCCATCCTGTCCTGCCCTGCTTGCCCTGCCCTGCCCACCACAACCACCAACCTGGAACTGCATGGGACACACAGCATGTGTCAGCCCAGTCTGTCCCCTGCACTGCCCAGATGGCACCTGTGTCCACAGCCACCCCTGAGCACAGAGCTCTTCATGTTTAGACCCATGGCAAATCCATGCATGTGTCAGACCCAGAGCCCCTCAGCAGCTGGAGGATGCTCAGGATGGTGTTTTGGGGGTGGCTGCCCTTTGTGGGTGATGGGATGCTCCAGGATGCAGCCAAGGCTCAGTGGTTTGGGCTGTGGGGGCACCTGGAAGGCTGTACCCCACTAAGGGTCTTCTCAGTCTCTGCCAGAAAGTTGGCCTGCAGTCAACTCTGCTCCCTGAGCACACCCAGCCCCTTTCTGCTCTCCATTTCCACCTCTGACCACTGCTGCCAGTGGTCACAGCAGTTCTTGCCACAGAGCAGTCACCTTTCTGCACAGCCCCTGATCCCCTCAGCCCTGACCCCTACCCCATCAGGTCCTGGCTCTTCCCATCACATTGGGATGGATCCCTTTCCCACAGTTTGGGCACATTCAGACCAGGGATGGCTTCAAGAGCTGCTTTGGCTTCAGAGTAAGCCCAGGGCACAACCCCGTGTTCCACCCAGCACAGCCCAGCCCATCTTCAATAAAGCCCCCCTAAGCTGGAGCCCCGTGCCCTGTGCCAGGCAGGGCAGGGACCCAGAGGCAGCAGCAGCTCTCCCAGCACCGCCCTCCTTCAGCCCTGCAGATGCCCGGGAGGAGAGGGGAGAAGGGGCGAACCCCAGGGTCCCTGTGCCCCCCTCGATCTGTCCCCGTCAGGATCCAAACCCCCACCCCAGGATCCTCCCAGCTTACCCATGGTCGTCGGGGCGGGAGCGAGAGCTGCGATGAGTCTGAACTAATCCCGGTACCTTGGGGAACGAGAACAAGATTTTTTTTTTTTGCGTAGGCAGCAAGTGAGATCAGCGGGGCTTTGCTGCCCGGCACGATCGCCCCCAACCACCCCTCTCCCACCCAGGAACGCCCGCCCCCTCCCCTTAAAATCAGAGACGACCCCGCACCACCACCAGCCTCCCCGGCTCCTGCCCGGCCGGGTTTTGGAGGCTGCTCCGCCGGCACAGCGAGGGGAGCAGCCCCCGTTACTGTCCCCCCCTCAGAGAAAGGCTGCTGTCCCCAAACACCGGCCGCACGTCACCAACCTGTCCTGTGTGTACTGTGCTCTGAGGGACAAAAGCCTGCAGGGAAGTACGAGCAAGGGTGTGTCGGTTCAGCTGATTTCTGAGATGCTCTGAAGCCGCTCGCTCAGTTTCGCTTTCTTGTTAACCCTTGGTGGTTCTGTCTCTGCTAGAGCAGGACTGGGGCTCTCCCGTGCTCGGGGTCGCACCCTGGGCTGTCTCCTCAGGGAGCCCTTTGGCCCCGACGGCCTCGGACGGGAGCTGCGGGGGAAGGACGCGCCGGGCTGGGGCTGCTCGGGCTGTGCACCACCACACACACACACACACACACCAGAAATGCACTTTTATTAAAGCTTTCTCAGGATTTAGTGCTGAAGGTAATCCAAAACTTTTGAAGGGGCAGATGCGGTTCTGTGGGGGCTTTTCAGTTTCAGCAGTTGGAAGACAGAAATCAGGCTTCTTGGAAGGAAGGAAATCTGCTGCTCTTCACTGGCCATGGTAATCAGGAGTCCTTCTTCTGGACAGCAAGGCATCAGCTGCTGCTCGCAGGCCAGGTCATTCCTTTCCCCCCTATAAAGACAGGAGTGTCTGTCCCAGAAGCATCAAGGCTGTCTGCTGATGGACAAGCACGAGGCAGGGACAGCCAACAATGTCTCTCCAGCAAGAGTCTCCCCAGTCTGTGCCCAGAGAGTTGGCCTGCAGTCAGCTCTGCTCCATGAGCACACCCAGCCCCTTTCTGCTCTCCATTTCCACCTCTGACCACTGCTGCCAGTGGGCACAGCAGTTCTTGCCACAGAGCAGTCACCTGCCTGCACAGCCCCAATGCCCTCAGCCCCAACCCTACCCCATCAGGTCCTGGCTCTTCCCACCGCATTGGGATGGATCCCTTTCCCACAGTTTGGGCACATTCAGACCAGGGATGGCTTCAAGAGCTGCTTTGGTTTCAGAGTAAGCCCAGGGCACAACCCCGTGTTCCACCCAGCACAGCCCAGCACCCCTGCCCTCCCCACTCACCAATATGGAAATGTGCAACCTTGGTATTCACAGTCAAGTCCACAGGCTTATTCCTTGCCAATACTGCATGAAGGAGAGAGCAGTGTTAGGGTGCTCTCTGTGAGCCACATCTCCCCTTGCCCCCTGCACCAGAAGCGGCCTCCCCAGAAGCACCCAGGGAGCAGAGCGGGGAGCGAGGGCTGGGGCTGCAGGGACGGGGACAGCCCTGGGCACCGGGAGAGGAGCAGCGTGCAGGGCTGCAGCAGCGGGGACAGGCAGAACTCCAGGCACTGCCCGGAGCTGTCCCTTCCCTCTCAGCAGCACAACCAGAAGTGAAGCCGAGCGCTGCTCATCCCGTGCCAAATTCTCACCTGTAAGCAGAAGTGCCACGACAAATCCCAGAAGAAATGCAATCATGAATGGCTCAAAGTCTAAGAAGGAAAATGGCAGAAGGGCAGTGGTGTGGGCACTAAAGGTTCTCCCAGCTGGAGCCCCGTGCCCTGTGCCAGGCAGGGCAGGGTCCCAGAGGCAGCAGCAGCTCTCCCAGCACCGCCCTCCTTCAGCCCTGCAGAGGCCCCGGAGGAGAGGGGAGAAGGGGCGAACCCCAGGGTCCCTGTGCCCCCCCCCCCCACTGCAGGTCCCATGTCCCAGACCCCATGAGACACCCAACTTACCCATGGTCCTGGGATCCAGACCTGCCATGAGTCTGCTCTAAGCCTGGTCCCTTGGGAAGCAAGAACAAGATGTTTTTCCATGGGCTGATGGTGGGGTCAGCAGGGTTTGCCACCTTGCATCATCACAACCACCTCTCTCCCACCCAGGAGACCCTGGCCATGCTATAAAAGCAGAGACCCCTCAGTCCCCACCCAGTCTCCTGCCTGGCCCACAGCTATGTGTGCTCTGCATGTGTAAACAAAGGAGGCACAGACTCAGACCTGCAGGGATACTGAGATATTTACTGGGAGAAAGGAGTTGGTTTTATACCCTTGCTCAAGACCCACTATTTCCTTGTACGGTTTTTTTCACTAAGTCACCTATCACACATTGCCACATCAGCAACGTTCTTAACGCCCTTCCATGGGGTCATCTCGTGCTGTTCAGGTGACTGTAAGATTCCAGCAGTCCCCCTCCTTAGGGTATCCACCAAGTGGCATTTCTTCCCAAGGTCAGGGGAGACAAGTTTCTCCATGCTGCCATGGCATTCTGCAGGCACATCCCACAGCCTGGAACTCAATTCTATCTTATCTCTCCCCACCGATACAGCGAGGTGAGCAGCCCCCCGTTATTGCCCCCCTACATGGAGAAAGGGGGTGCTGTCCCCAAGCATCCACTGTGGCAGCACAGCACCCCACACCACCAACCTGTCCTGTGTCTGCTGTGGTGCTCTGAGGGTCAAAGGGCTGCAGAAAAGATCCCAACAGGGAATGTCAGGAGAGGTAATTTATGAGAAATTGCTCAATCACTGAATTTCATTTTCATTCTCATCAGCTCTTGATGTTGTCTTGGTTGGAGTGGGGCTGGGGCTCCCCCATCTCCAGGACATTGGACCTTGGGGGTTGTCCCTGCAGGGAGCTTCTGGCTTTATATTCTGGGGAACTGCGAGGAATTCTTTTAAAAATAGATGATCCAGAACAACATTAAGTCAACTGAGACAACATTGTATCTGAAAACTGTTTATTGATAACGAAAAAACAAACAAAAAAAGAGAAATTACCCTACTAAAAAGTCCTAGGAAAGACAGAGAAGGAGAAAGGAAAATGGAAAAGGAGTGGGAGGAGAGAGAAAGAGAGACAGCCAGACACAAAAAGTGGGAGTGAGCAGCAGCAGGGCGGGGAGTGGCTGGATGCTCACGGGATGCAGGATGCTCTGGCAGCAGCCCAGGAGCTCCCCCATGGCTGCTCCCCAGGGATGCGGCCCTGAGGATCCCAGACACGGCTCCCAGGAGCCAAGACAAGGGCCCAGCCCAGCAGGAGCAGTGGGCACAGCGTGTCTGGCAGCACCAGCAGCCCTGAACCACCCCAAATCAAACGGAGTGGGTGTCCTGAGCCCGGGGCTGCAGAGATGCACCCAGTCCAGCCCCGGGGCTCTGCCGGCCCTGCAGTGCAGTGCCATGCTGCCCTGAGGATTTGCTGCAGCAGTGCTGGGGTCCCAGGCACTGCCAGCACTGTCAGGCTGCAGTGGGAGCAGCCCCTGGCTGTGCAGGGGGACAGGGAGCAAGGCTGCAAACCCTGCCTGTGCAATCCCTTCCTGGAGCACAGCACATCCCCAGCTGTGGGGCAGGAACCTGAGCCACAACGCACACCAAGCACCTCATTTGGGCATTATGGGGCAGAATTCCACAGGATGCTTTGCAGCCCCGTGATGAAAGGTGCTATAAAACTGCAAAGTGTTACTTCAGATGTAACTAGGTAAGCAGTGCATCATAACCTATATTAAACAGACATTTTCTAATACGAGAATTTATAGAGTTCAATCTACGGTATTCAGAAGTGAATTATTGAGACCCTAAAAAGAGTTTTTGTTTCAATTGTATCTGTATTCTGGAAAAGTGATTAAAAACCTTTAACCTTAACAAAAGAGTGCAGCCATCCTCCTTTCCTCTATGACACTGGAATCTAAGACCAGTTTACAAAGCAGGACACAGCTTAAAAGCAGAATCTCACAGATTTCATATGGGGAGGGCTCAGCAGTTTTTAAGCCACAGTTAAAATTGCAGCTGATCACCTGCACAGCAACCCCTGGTGGTTGCCACCTGGTTGGTGTTCCCACTCACAGTGGGTTCTGTTCCTCTGGTGTGGGCTGTAACTCCTCCCCTGCCCCAGACTGAGTGCAGGGCAGCTGGGGGCAGCATCAGCGAGCAGCTCAGTCCTGGGGACGGAGCATCCCCTGTGCCCTGTCCCCCTCTAATGCCACCATCACCCAAGACAGCAGCCACACACAAACACCAACTCTGCCGCAAGCAAAGCACATTTATTGGCTTCAGGGAAATCCCTGCTCACGAAAATCCAAAGCTTTTAAAAGGGGAGGCAAAGATCTGAGGGGTCTGTGGGGGTTTCCCAGCACCTGCATTGTGCAAGGCAAGGCTTCGGGATCAGGAACCTGCTTCGTTTCTCTTGGGTTCCTCATCTGGAGTTGTCTCCTCCTCCTGTTTGTCACCCGAGGTACTTTTTCTTGGGTTTGTCACTTGGGTTTTTATCCTTTTTTTGGGGTTGTCACTTGGAGGTTTCTTTCACTCAGTGAGCTGGGCACCGGTTGCTGCACCAGCTGAGCCCAGGGCAGCAGTCAGCCCAACTTTGGCACCAACAGAAAGACCTGCAGCTCCTGTAAAGACAAATCGAGATCTGAGCTCCCAGGAGCATCAAGACTGCCTGCTGAGGGACCGAGCACTGGGCACAGCCAGCCAAGGACTCCTCCCGGGCAGGGATAGCCCAGAGAGTTTGGAGCAATTGCCCTCTGCACTCACCGATGGACTGCAGCACAGCCACAGTGCTGCCAGCAGCCACTCCGCCGCCGTTGGCGATGGCAGCTGCCGACATCATCTTGGCAGCGACGGAGCCAGCGGCGATGCCGGCCCCGGTGAACCCCAGCGCGCCGATGAACACCGGGAGGCCAACCAGTGCCAATCCTGCAGGGAGGGCAGAGCAGTGTTAGGGTGGTCTCTGTGAGCCACATCTCCCCCTGCCACCTGCACCAGAACCGGCCTCCCCAAAAGCACCCAGGGAGCAGAGCGGGGAGCGAGGGCTGGGGCTGCAGGGATGGGGACAGCCCTGGGCACCAGGAGAGGAGCAGCGTGCAGGGCTGCAGCAGCAGGGACAGGCAGAACTCCATTCCAGGCAGCAGCCAGAGCTGCCCCTCCTCCTCCCACCTGCACCCCAATTCTCCCCAGCCCTGGTACTTGCAGCCCCCAGCCCAGCCCCGTCCCCAGGACCACGCGGGGCTGGGAGCGGGCAGTGAACCCGAGCGCTGCTCATCCAGTGCCAGACCCTCACCTGCTCCCACTGTGGCTCCAATGACAGTTCCAATGCCACTTCCATTCTCCCCTGAGAAAGAAAATGGCAGGAAGAGAGGAAGGACATGAGTATGTACAGCAAAGCTCCCTGAGAAGTGCTGAGCACTCTGTGCCAGGCAGAGCAGGGTCCCAGAGCCAGCAGCATCTCCTCCAACCTCCCCCTGCCTTCATCTGCCTCCAGCCCCCAAAGACCCCTGGGAAGAGGCCACTGGTAGGGCGGGTCCCTAAGGGGTCTCCCCCCTGCCCCAGCCTGCAGAGCAGGCTTAGTCCCTGAGCAAGGCAGTCCTATCCAGATAACTCAGTCCCTCTTGGAGACAGAGTTCCTGAATACCCAGTCAGCTCGTAGCCGCTGGCTACCTTAAGCAAGCTTAGTGGGTTTCAGCTCTTTAGTGATTATCAGCTCTCTTATGATTTCAGCTCTTTGCTTGCTTGCTATGGCGCCGGAGGGCTAGGGGGAGAAGCAGACAAGAGAGAGGAGAAGAAGGGTCCTGGCGTTCCACAGCGATGGTTTATTGAGGGGTCTGTGAAGGGTTCCAGCGACGGCTCTTCTTCTGCTGAATGGGCTAAAACAGCCCCTTTTTATAGGGTACAGAGGGATCCAAACTTGTCCAATAGTAAGGGTTAAGGGAAAGTGACCTATTGGGTTACAGATATAAGCTAGGTTTCGAGAGGTAGAAGACAGGAGCTTATTTTAATATCTCATCATGACTCTGCAATTCCTACTGTTAAGTCTCAGCCCTCCACGGGGTATTAGACAATGCTATGGGGTGTGCCACAGGTCCCAGTGCTCCCCCAGGCTGGGAGGAACAGGGAGAAGGGGCACACCTGGAAGTGCCCACCCACCCTGCCTTGCTCACTGCCCCACCAACCCAGAACAGCACAGGACACACTGCACGTGTCAGCCCAGTCTGTCCCCTGCACTGCCCAGAAGGGCCCCGTGCCCACAGCCACCCCTGAGCATGGACCTTTGTTGGTCGTGTTTAGACCCATGGCAAATCCATGCATGAGTCAGACCCAGAGCCCCTCAGCGGCTGGAGGATGCTCAGGATGGTGTTTTGGGGGTGGCTGCCCTTTGTGGGTGATGGGATGCTCCAGGATGCAGCCAAGGCTCAGAGCTTTGGGCTGTGGGGGCACGTGGAAGGCTGCACCCCCCTAAGGGTGTCCTCAGCCTGTGCCAGAGAGTTGGCCTGCAGTCAGCTCTGCTTCCTGTGCACACCCAGCCCCTTTCTGCTCTCCATTTCCCCCTCTGGCCAGTGCTGCCAGTGGACACAGGAGCTTCCTGCCATAGAGCAGTCACCTTTCCTGCAGAGCCCCAATGCCCCAGCCCCTACCCCATCAGGTCCTGGCTTTTCCCATCACATTGGGATGGATCCCTTTCCCACAGTTTGGGCACATTCAGACCAGGGATGGCTTCAAGAGCTGCTTTGGCTTCAGAGTAAGCCCAGGGCACAACCCCGTGTTCCACCCAGCACAGCCCAGCCCCCCTGCCCTCCCCACTCACCGTCAGAGGAGCGATCCTTTGCAGCTGCTCCTGCAGGGAGGGCAGAGCAGTGTTAGGCTGCTCTCTGTGAGCCACATCTCCCCCTGCCACCTGCACCAGAAGCGGCCTCCCCAGAAGCACCCAGGGAGCAGAGCGGGGAGCGAGGGCTGGGGCTGCAGGGACGGGGACAGCCCTGGGCACCGGGAGAGGAGCAGCGTGCAGGGCTGCAGCAGCGGGGACAGGCAGAACTCCAGGCAGAATTCCAGACAGCGCCCAGAGCTGTCCCCTCCCTCTCAGCAGTGCCACAAGCAGCGAAGCTGAGCGCTGCTCATCCCGTGCCAAATTCTCACCTCCGATTGCAGACCCAATGATGAGCAGAATGACGATTGCAACGGTGACTACACGTGCACCTAGGACGGAAAAGGGCAGAAGGGCAGCAGTGTGGGCACTAAAGCCCCTCTCAGCTGGAGCCCCGTGCCCTGTGCCGGGCAGGGCAGGGTCCCAGAGGCAGCAGCAGCTCTCCCAGCACCGCCCTCCATCAGCCCTGCAGATGCCCGGGAGGAGAGGGGAGAAGGGGCGAACCCCAGGGTCCCTGTGCCCCCCTCGATCTGCCCCCGTCAGGACCCAGACCCCCACCCCAGGAACCTCCCAGCTTACCCATGGTCGTCTGGGCGGGAGCGAGAGCTGCAGTGAGGCTGCTCTAATCCCGGTACCTTGGGGAACAAGAAGATTTTTTTGCGTAGGCAGCGAGACCAGCGGGGCTTTGCTGCCCGGCACGATCGCCCCCAGCCGCCCCTCTCCCACCCAGCAGACCCCGGCCCTCCCCTCACAAGAAGAGACCCCCCCCTCTTTCCCCAGCCCCGGCTGCTCCGCCGGCACAGCGAGGAGAGCAGCCCCCGTTCCTGTCACCGCATCAGCGAGGCTGCTGTCCCCAAACACCCTCCGCCACCCCGCGGCACTCACGCCACCAACCTCTCGTGTGTTTCTTGCGCTCTGAGGAACCCAGGGCTGCAGGGGAGGTGGAGCTAAGGGGAATGGCCGGTCAGCTGATTTCCGAGAAATCAGCAAGGAAGCCGCTCGCTCAGTTTCGCTTTCTGGTTAACTCCTGATGGTGCTGCCTCTGCTAGAGCAGGACTGGGGCTCTCCCGTGCTCGGGGTCGCACCCTGGGCTGTCCCTTCAGGGAGCCCTTTGGCCCCGAAGGCCTCGGACGGGAGCTGCGGGGGAAGGACGCGCCGGGCTGGGGCTGCTCGGGCTGTGCCAGGGCTCCGGCGGCTTCACGGGGCCTTTCCCCAGCAGGTTCCCCAGGGACCACTGAAACTTCGCAGGTCTAACGAGCACCGAGAGCAGTCTGGAGAGCAGAGCTGAAGCCGCTCTGCCTCCTCCCCACAGGGCAGCCTCAAAAACCAGCCGAAGCCCCTCTCTGCAGCCCCCGTTTGCGGCTGCTGAGCTGGGTCAGGATGCACCCCGTCATTCCCCTGTCCGCTTGTACCCCACAGGACCCCCAAAATCAACATTCCCCCATCCATTTAACAGAGCAGTGCTGGAGGTTTTTGCACCTGGACCAGTGTAGGAGGGGAGCTGGGGGCAGCATCAGCGAGCAGCTCAGTCCTGGGGACTGAGCATCCCCTGTGCCCTGTCCCCCTCTAATGCCACCATCACCCAAGAGAGCAGCCACACACAAACACCAACTCTGCCACAAGCAAAGCACATTTATTGGCTTCAGGGAAATCCCTGCTCACGAAAATCCAAAGCTTTTAAAAGGAGAGGCAAAGATCTGAGGGGTCTGTGGGGGTTTCCCAGCACCTGCATTGTGCAAGGCAAGGCTTCGGGATCAGGAACCTGCTTCGTTTCTCTTGGGTTCCTCATCTGGAGTTGTCTCCTCCTCATGTTTGTCACCTGAGGTACTTTTTCTTGGGTTGGTCACTTGGGTTTTTTTCTTTATTTGGGGTTGTCACTTGGAGGTTTCTTCCCTTTGGAGAACCAGGCACCGGTTGCTGCACCAACTGAGCCCAGCCCAACTTTGGCACCAAGAGAAAGACCTGCAGCTCCTGTAAAGACAAATCGAGATCTGAGCTCCCAGGAGCATCAAGGCTGCCTGCTGAGGGACCGAGCACTGGGCACAGCCAGCCAAGGACTCCTCCCAGGCAGGGAGAGCCCAGGGAGTTTGGAGCAATTCAGACCAGGGAGGGGTTCAAGGGCTGCTTCTGCTCTAGAGCCAGCATCTTTTCCCTGCCATGGAGATGAAGCCCAGCTCCCCTGCCCTCCCCACTCACCGATGGACTGCAGCACAGCCACAGTGCTGCCAGCAGCCACTCCGCCGCCGTTGGCGATGGCAGCTGCCGACATCATCTTGGCAGCGACGGAGCCAGCGGCGATGCCGGCCCCGGTGAACCCCAGCGCGCCAATGAGCACCGGGAGGCCAACCACTGCCAATCCTGCAGGGAGGGCAGAGCAGTGTTAGGCTGCTCTCTGTGAGCCACATCTCCCCCTGCCACCTGCACCAGAACCGGCCTCCCCAGAAGCACCCAGGGAGCAGAGCAGGGAGCGAAGGCTGGGGCTGCAGGGACGGGGACAGCCCTGGGCAGCAGGAGAGGAGCAGCGTGCAGGGCTGCAGCAGCGGGGACAGGCAGAACTCCATTCCAGGCAGCAGCCAGAGCTGCCCCTCCTCCTCCCACCTGCACCCCAATTCTCCCCAGCCCTGGTACTTGCAGCCCCCAGCCCAGCCCCGTCCCCAGGACCACGCGGGGCTGGGAGCGGGCAGTGAACCCGAGCGCTGCTCATCCAGTGCCAGACCCTCACCTGCTCCCACTGTGGCTCCAATGACAGTTCTAATGCCACTTCCATTCTCCCCTGAGAAAGAAAATGGCAGGAAGGGAGGAAGGACATGAGTATGTACAGCAAAGCTCCCTGAGCAGTGCTGAGCACTCTGTGCCAGGCAGAGCAGGGTCCCAGAGCCAGCAGCAGCTCCTCCAACCTCCCCCTGCCTTCATCTGCCTCCAGCCCCCAAAGACCCCTGGGAAGAGGCCTCTGGAGGGGTGGGTCCCAGTGTCCCCCCAGGCTGGCAGGAACAGGGAGAAGGGCTCACCCCAGAGTGCCCACCCACCCTGCCCTGCCCTGCCCTGCCCTGCCCTGCCCGCCACAGCCACCAACCCAGAACAGCACGGGACACAGGGCAGGTGTCAGCCCAGTCTGTCACCTGCCACCAGCACAAGGTCAATCAAACAGAGTTCATAACAAACTCACCCACTGCCTTGCCAGCCCTTCCCTGTGCAGGGGGAGAGGGAGCAGGGCTGGCAGCAGTGCCCACTGGAATCCCTTCCTGGAGCACAGCAAATCCCAGGGCACTCAGCAGGTACCTGGGCCCTGACTGCACACCCACCACCACTACAGCCCCTCCTGCAATGCATTTCTGATTTCAGGGCACCTATTGCTCCTACAGCTCTTCACAGGGTGCCCAGGCTGCTGGGGCTTCCCAGTGCCTACCAGGCTGCCTGGCAGGGATCTTGGGATCAGGCATCTGCTTGGCTTCCCTTGGGAAGTCACAAAGAATGACAGAATGAACAAGGCTGCAAAAGACCTTTGAGATCAAATCCAACCTATGACCTAACACCCCCTCATCAAATAAACCACAGCACTGAGTGCCACCTCCAGTGTCTTCTTAAATGCCTCCAGGGATGGTGACTCCACCACCTCCCTGGCCAGACAATGTCAGTGCCCAATCAGTCTTTCAGTGAAGAATTTTTTTCATGATGTCTCACCCAAACTTCCCATGAACTTTACCTGAATTAGGCCCATTGTTGGGACCATCATCGGGACCATCATCAGGACCATCCCCAGGACCACCCCCAGGACCATCCTCAGGACCATCCCCATCCTTGGGTTTGTCACCATGATTTGTCTCATCCCAGGATTCCTCATCTGAATTTCTCTCCTTCTTGGGCTCATCACCAGGAGTTGTGTGCTCCCCAGATTTCTCATTTATAATTATGGGGATCTTGGGTTCCTCCTCTGGAGTTGGCTTCATCTTGAACACCTTGACAGAGTCTCCTGCACCAAGTGACAGCAGGATAGATGTCAGCCCAGTTTTGGCACGAAGAGAGAAACCTGCAGCTCCAGGCTGGTGCTGCCCCTCCCTCACAGCAGCTCCCTGAGTCTCTCCTTCCCAGCACTCGCAGCCCCAGCCTGGCAGTGCCAGACCTTTACCTGCTCGGGCAGCTGCTCCAGTGGCAGCTCCTTTGCCTCTTGTCTCACAGCTAACAGGGAAAAATGCAGGAGGGCAGGAGGGAAAAGAGGAAAAGGAAAACGAAGAGGAAGAGGACAGGGAAGGTGGAAGAGGGAAGGAAGCAGCGCTGCCCACAGCATTGCTCACCTGCCCCCGGCGTTGCTCACCTGCCCGCAGTGCCCGGTGCACTGGAACGGCCCCGCGGTGCCCGATGGACTGCGATGGTCCCGCAGTGCCCGGTGCACTGGAAAGGTCCCGCAGTGCCCGGTGCACCGGAACGGCCCCGCGGTGCCCGATGGACTGGGACGGTCCCGGTGCTCGCCCCGGGGCGGCCCCGTCCCAGCCACGCCCAGGGAGGAGGCAGCGGGCTGAGCTTGATTCTTCATTCGGGCGGTCAGATACAGCAAGGGGGGCACGGGACAGAGGTGAGGGTCCCAGCCGCGGTACCAGAGAGGTTCCAGAGTGTGGGGTCACGACAGACGATTGCGAGGGTCCTGTTGTGTACGGGAGGGTCACGGCACGGCAGCTAAACCAGAGCCCTGTGTGGCTGCCGAAGCTTAACACCAGCCAGCCCCAAGCACCTCGCAGCCGCTTGCCCATCACTCCCACCCCTCCACCCCCCATCGGGACCAGGGAGGGAATGGAAGGGTAAAAACTAGAAAACTTGTGGGTTGAAATAAACAGTTTAATAGGGAAACAAATAGCCGTGCACGCAAGCAAAGCAAACCCAGGAATTCAGTCCCTGCTTCCCGTGGGCAGGGAGGGGTTCAGCTCCTCCGGGAGAGAGGGACTCCTGCAGACGGGACAGACGCGGGAAGAGAAACGCCATCATTCCAAAGGTCCCCTCCTTTGTCCATTCATGTTATGTCCCACGGTCTGGGATATCCCATTGGTCAGTGGGGGTCACTTGTCCCTCCCACGTCTCCTCCCAACCTCCCGCACACCCCCAAGTCCCTCCCCAGCATGGCCGTGTGAGGGCCTGGAAATGCCTTGGCTCTGGGCTCTGGGCTCAGCACTAACAAAACAGCTCTGTGACATCAACCTCGTGTTTGGCACAAAACCAAAAACACAGCCCCAGAGCAGCCCCTGGGAGGAAAATTAAAATTACCCCTAGCCCAGCCCAAAGCAGCACAATGACCAAGAGCTGTGAGGAGTCCTGAGGAAGAGGAGGAGAAATCAGCCCAGGGCTCCCCAGCTGGCCCTGCCTAAGCATAGGGCCCCCACTATCCCCCCTAGCAAGGGGGAGCACCCCACAGAAGAGCAGATCCCACAGATCTGAGCTCCCTGCTGCCATCAGGTGTGCCCACAGCCAGGGCAGTGCAGGCAGCAGGGCCACACCCCTGGGCCTGGACCCTGCTCCCATGGCCAGCCCAGGCCCTGGACATGGGCACTGCCCTGGGAGGCCAAAGCTCAGGGTGCTGGGGAAATACTGTGCTGCCTTGTTTACCAACACTGCTGCAGAATGCATGTATTTGAGGTAAATAATAGAGAGAATGCAGGAACTGAAACTCAACTGAGTGTGGGGAGAGCCCTGAGGTCACACATGGGGCACAATAGAGGACAGAGAGCATTGTCAGCCCAGTCTGTCACCTGTCACAAGCACCTGGTGACTCAAACATGGTTTATGACAAAGCCATCCAATGCCTGGATAGGAGCCAGTGGCCAGAGGTTGTGCAGGGCTGTGGGGAGCACCTCCTGCCCACCCCCAGTCCCATCCTCAGCCTGTGCCCGGTGCAGCCCAGGCGGAGGCACTGCCCAGGTGGCCCCTGTGCCTGCAGCCACCAAACTGCTCCTCGTGATTGGAGCCATGGCCAACCCACGTGTGCCTTGGACCCAGAGCCCCTCAGTGGCTGGATGATGCTCAGGATGGTGTTTTGGGGGTGGCTGCCCTTTGTGGGTGATGGGATGCTCCAGGATGCAGCCAAGGCTCAGTGGTTTGGGCTGTGGGGGCACCTGTGGAGCTGCACCCCCCTAAGGGTGTCCTCAGCCTGTGCCAGAGAGTTGGCCTGCAGTGAGCTCTGCTTCCTGTGCACACCCAGCCCCTTTCTGCTCTCCATTTCCCCCTCTGGCCAGTGCTGTCAGTGGATACAGCAGTTCTTGCCACAGAGCTGTCACCTTTCCTGCACAACCCCAATGCCCTCAGCCCTGATCCCTGCCCCAGCAAGTCCTGGCTCTTCCCACCACATTGGGGATTTATCCCTTTGCTAGATTTCAGTTGGGTTCAGACCACTGAAGGGTTCAAGGGCTGCTTTGGCTCTACAGAAAGCCCAGGGTACAACTCTGTGTTCCCTCCCAGCAAAGTCCATTTCCCTGCCCTCCCCACTCACCGATTCGGAGACTGAAGCCAAAATACTTGTAATTCATAGAGAACTTGATGGCCTCACCTCTTCCCAGTGCTGCAGGGAGGGCAGAGCAGTGTTAGGGTGCTCTCTGTGAGCCACATCTCCCCCTGCCACCTGCACCAGAACCGTCCTCCCCAGAAGCACCCAGGGAGCAGAGCAGGGAGCGAGGGCTGGGGCTGCAGGGACGGGGACAGCCCTGGGCACCAGGAGAGGAGCAGCGTGCAGGGCTGCAGCAGCGGGGACAGGCAGAACTCCAGGCACTGCCCAGAGCTGCCCTTTCCCTCAGCAGCACAACCAGCAAAGCTGAGCACTGCTCATCCCGTGCCAGACTCTCACCTACAAGCGCAGGTCTAATGAGGATTCCAATGAGGAATGCAGCGACAAGTAGAAGAAAGTCTAAGAAGGAAAATGGCAGATGAGCAGGAGTTGGGCACTAAAGTTCCTCCTGGCTGGAGCCCCGTGCCCTGTGCCAGGCAGGGCAGGGGCCCGCTGGCAGCAGCAGCTCTCCCAGCACTGCCCTCCTTCATCCCTGCTGACACCCTAAGGGGCGAACCCAGGATCCCTTTCCCCCCCAAATCTGTCCCACATTGTCCCACTGCAGGTCCGGTGTCCCCGACCCAACGAGCCGCCCGACTTACCCATGGTGGGCTGGCCAGGAGCAAGAGCTGCACTGGGTCCGCTGTGAGCCCGGTCCTCCGAGAAACGAGAACAAGACGTTTTTCCGTGGGCAGTGGGTGGGGCTGGCGGGGCTTTGGTGTCCTGTACGATCGTGCCCAGCCACACCCGTCCCACCCAGGAGCCCGCGGTCCCCCACACAAGCACAGAACCCTCAGACTCTGCCCAGGCTCCTGCCTCGCCCAGGGCTTGGGGGATGCTCCACCGATACAGCGAGGTGAGCAGCCCCCCGTTATTGCCCCCCCTACACAGAGAAAGGGGGTGCTGTCCCCAAACATCCACTGTGGCAGCACAGCACCCCACACCACCAACCTGTCCTGTGTCTCCTGTGCTCTGAATGTCAAAGGGCAGCAGGAAGGATCCCAACGGGGAGTGTCAGGACAGGTAATGTACGGGAAATTGCGCAATCACTGAGTTTCAGTTTCGTTCTAATCAACTCTTGATACTGGTGTCTCTGCTGGAGCAGGGCTGGGGCTCCCCCATCTCCAGGACATTGGACCTTGGGGTTGTCCCTGCAGGGAGATTCTGGCTTTATATTCTGGGGAACTACAAGGAATTCTTGTAAAGATAGATGGTCCGGAACGAAATTAAGTCAACTGAGACAACATTGTATCTGAAACCTGTTTATTGATAACAAAAAAACAAACAAAATAAATTAGTTACCCTAGTAAAAACTGTTAGAAAAGGTAGAGAAGGAGAAAGGAAAATGGAAAAGGAGTGGGAGGACAGAGAAAGAGAGACAGCCAGAGACAAAAAGTGGGAGTGAGCAGCAGCAGGGTGGGGAGTGGCTGGATGCTCACAGGATGCAGGATGCTCTGGCAGCAGCCCAGGAGCTCTCCCATGGCTGCTCCCCAGGGATGTGGCCCTGAGGATCCCAGACACGGCTCCCAGGAGCCCAGACAAGGGCCCAGCCCAGCAGGAGCAGTGGGCACAGCGTGTCTGGCAGCACCAGCAGCCCTGAACCACCCCAAATCAAACGGAGTGGGTGTCCTGAGCCCGGGGCTGCAGAGATGCACCCAGTCCAGCCCCGGGGCTCTGCCGGCCCTGCAGTGCAGTGCCATGCTGCCCTGAGGATTTGCTGCAGCAGTGCCGGGCTCCCAGGCACTGCCAGCACTGTCAGGCTGCAGTGGGAGCAGCCCCTGGCTGTGCAGGGGGACAGGGAGCAAGGCTGCAAACCCTGCCTGTGCAATCCCTTCCTGGAGCACAGCACATCCCCAGCTGTGGGGCAGGAACCTGAGCCACAACGCACACCAAGAGACACCACACACACACACAGACACCAGCGATGCACTTTCATTAAAGGTTTCAAAAGCATTTATTGCTCAAGGCAATCCAAAATTTTTGAAGGAGCAGCTGGGGGTCTCTGTGGGCTTTCCAGTTCCAGTAGTGGGAACACATGAATGAAGCCAATTGGAAGGAAATCACCTTCTGCTCGCTGGCAGTGGGCACCAGGAGTTCTTCCAATGGACAGCATGATGCCTGCTGCTGCTTGCAGGGCAGAGTCAGTCCTTATGTTTTCCCCCTATAAAGACAGGAGTGTCTGTCCCAGAAGCATCGAGGCTGTCTGCTGATGGACAAGCACGAGGCAGGGACAGCCAACAATGTCTCTCCAGAAGGAGTCTCCCCAGTCTCTGCCAGAGAGTTGGCCTGCAGTCAGCTCTGCTCCATGAGCACACCCAGCCCCTTTCTGCTCTCCATTTCCACCTCTGACCACTGCTGCCAGTGGGCACAGCAGTTCTTGCCACAGAGCAGTCACCTGCCTGCACAGCCCCAATGCCCTCAGCCCCAACCCTACCCCTGCGGGTCCTGGCTTTTCCCACCACATTGGGATGGATCCCTTTCCCACAGTTTGGGCACATTCAGACCATTGAGGGGTTCATGGGCTGCTTTGCCTTCAGAGTAAGCCCAGGGCACAACCCCGTGTTCCACCCAGCACAGCCCAGCCCCCCTGCCCTCCCCACTCACCAGCTTGAAAATGGAAGGAAAAAGATCCCTTATTTATTTTGAGGATTATCTTGTCTTTGTATATCGCTGTTCCAGGGAGGAGAGAGAAGTGTTAGGCTGCTCTCTGTGAGCCACATCTCCCCCTGCCACCTGCACCAGAACCGGCCTCCCCAAAAGCACCCAGGGAGCAGAGAGGGGAGCGAGGGCTGGGGCTGCAGGGACGGGGACAGCCCTGGGCAGCAGGAGAGGAGCAGCGTGCAGGGCTGCAGCAGCAGGGACAGGCAGAACTCCAGGCAGAATTCCAGGCAGTGCCCAGAGCTGTCCCCTCCCTCTCAGCAGTGCCACAAGAGAACCGAAACGCGGCGTATCCCATGCCAGACTCTCACCTATAATTGTAATTCCTGCCATGACTACAACTAATCCAACGACCTTTAAAATTTCAAGGATGACTGGAACGGGAACTAAGAAGGAAAATGACAAAAGGGCAGCAGTGTGGGCAGTAAAGCCCCCTCCCGGCTGGAGCCCCGTGCCCTGTGCCGGGCAGAGCAGGGTCCAAGAGGCAGCAGCAGCTCTCCCAGCGCCGCCCTCCTCCAGCCCTGCAGACGCCCGGGAGGAGAGGGGAGAAGGGGCGAACCCCAGGGTCCCTGTGCCCCCCCTCTCTGGGCTGTCCCACTGCAGGTCCCGTGTCCCAGAGCCCACGAGACACCCAACTTACGCATGGTGGGCCCGGCGGGAGCGAGAGCTGCGATGAGGCTGCTGGAATCCCGGTCCCTTGGGAAGCAAGAACAAGATTCCTCTGCACAGGCAGCAGGTGGGATCAGCGGGGCTTTGCTGCCCGGCACGATCGCCCCCAGCCGCCCCAATCCCACTCAAGAGCCCGCGGCCCCTCCCCTCACAAGAAGAGACCCCCAAGCCCATGCAGGCGAACCTGCCCGTCCCAGGGATCAGCGCCTGCTCCGCCGGCACAGCGAGGGGAGCAGCCCCCGTTCCTGTCCCCTCCTCAGAGAAAGGCCGCTGTGCCCAAACACCCACCGCGGGACGGCGGCACCTCAACCTCTGGTGTGTCTTTTGTGCTCTGAGGGGGCCAATGGCGGCCGAAAATCAATAGACCCACCCTCGCCCCACCCGGCAGGAAAGGCAGGTCTGAGTCAACTGATTTCCGAGAAGTTCTTAACTCTCTCAGGTTTAATTTCAGTTTAACTCTTGGTGTTGCTGCCTGTGCTAGAGCAGGAGAGAGGCTCTCCCGTCCTCGGGGTCGCACATATGGGCACATGAAGAAGAATGTAGGGTTGGGAGGGAGAGGCGGGCGCCGCGGGGCTGGGGCCGCGGGGCACGGGGCTGTCCCTCTGCCGGCCGTGTCCCCCAGCCCCAGTGAGGTCCTGGAAGGAGCCCGTGGCCATGGTGAAACCCGAGACTGGGCAGGGGCTTTGGGGGCACCTCCTGCCCACCCCCAGTCCCATCCTTTGCCTCTCTCCGGTGCAGCCGAGGTGGAGGCACTGCCCAGGTGGCCCCGGTGCCTGCAGCCATCCCACAGCTCCTCGTGTTTGGAGCCAAGGCCAACCCGCGTGTGCCTCGGACCCAGAGCCCCTGGGGGGCTGCAGAGTGTTCAGGTTGGTGTTTTGGGGGATTTTGGCTGCCCTTTGAGGGTGATGGGATGCTCCGGGATGCAGCTGAGGCTCAGTGGTTTGGGCTGTGGGGGCACCTGTGGAGCTGCACCTGCGAGGAGATGGGGGCACAGCCAAGGGCCGTGTCCTGTGAGCCCACACGGGCCAGCACGGATGGGTGGCAGGGGTGGGTGCCTGTGCTTGGAACCACTTCCAGAGGGGAATCCCCTTCAGCCCAAGCTCTTGGCTTGGCAGGGGTCACTGTGGCTGCTGCTGCTGCTGCTCTGGGCCAGGATGCACCAACTCATTCCCCTGCCACCCTGCACTCCACAGGACACCCTCCACATGTCCCTGTCCATTTGTCAGAGCAGAGGTTGAAGGCTGGAGTAGCTGGGCCAGTGTAGGCCAGCACCCACCTCCCACACCCCCATGCCCCTGCCCACCTCATTTGCAGCGATTCAGCACCAGGAGCTGTGGCCACACTGGCCACAGGTCCCTACAAGGAGCCCCTGAGTGCCAAATCCAGCCTCACATCTCTGGCCCTGCTCACAGCAGCCACAGGCAGCAGAGTCACTGCTCAGTGCCACCCCTGAGCCACCAACCCTTGCTGTGAGACACCAACCATTGCTGTGAGACACCACGGTGGCTGCCACCACAGCCATGCTCCCCCCAGGATGCTCTGGCAGCAGCCCAGGAGCTCCCCCATGGCTGCTCCCCAGGGATGTGGCCCTGAGGATCCCAGACACAGCTCCCAGGAGCCAAGACAAGGGCCCAGCCCAGCAGGAGCAGTGGGCACAGCGTGTCTGGCAGCACCAGCAGCCCTGAATCACCCCAAATCAAACAGAGTGGCTGTGCAGGGGGACGGGGAGCAAGGCTGGAAACTCTGCCTGTGCAATCCCTTCCTGGAGCACATCCCCAGCTGCAGGGCAGGAACCTGAGCCACAATGCACACCCAAGTACCACAATGCAGACATGCCAGCACTGTGCATTTATTACTTATTTACTGCTTAATTCCAAATCATTGAAAGCAGAAGCTGTGGGAGGGATTGGAACTTTCCAGCACCAGCCGTTTGAAGACGAACCCATGTGCTTGGAAGGAAGGGATCTTGCTTTTGCTCCCTTGCATTGAACACAGGGAGCTGGATCTGTTCCAGATGCAATCAGCTGCTGCTCAGAGGGCAGAGTCAGGCCATTTGTGCAGCCTGACAGAAGTGTGATGTTCCAGGAGCATCGACGCTGCCTGCTGAGGGACAAGCATGAGGCAGGAACCTGAGCCACGACACACACCAGGCACCACCACACACACCCACACCAGAAATGCATTTTTATTAAAGCTTTCAAAATCATTTACTGCTCAAGGCCACCCAAATCTGTTAAAGGGGCAGCTGCTGGTCAGTGGGGGCATTCTAGTTCATGCTGGTGGGAAGACATGAAGCAGGCGGCCTGGAAGGAAGGAAATCACCTTCTGTTCATTGTCCATGGTGATCAGGCTTTCTTCTTCTGCTCAGCATGGCGTTGGCTGTAGCCTGGGGGGCTGGCCTTTTGTTTCTCCCCTATAAAGATATGACTATCAGGTCCCAGAAGCATCGAGGCTGTCTGCTGATGGACAAGCACGAGGCAGGGACAATGTCTCTCCAGCAAGAGTCTCCCCAGTCTGTGCCAGAGAGTTGGCCTGCAGTCAGCTCTGCTCCATGAGCACACCCAGCCCCTTTCTGCTCTCCATTTCCCCCTCTGGCCACTGCTGCCAGTGGGCACAGCAGTTCTTGCCACAGAGCAGTCACCTGCCTGCACAGCCCCAATGCCCTCAGCCCCAACCCTACCCCAGCGGGTCCTGGCTCTTCCCACCACATTGGGATGGATCCCTTTCCCACAGTTTGGGCACATTCAGACCATTGAGGGGTTCATGGGCTGCTTTGGCTTCAGAGTAAGCCCAGGGCACAACCCCGTGTTCCACCCAGCACAGCCCAGCTCCCCTGCCCTCCCCACTCACCAGGATCACCACGTGCACCCCCGGCATTCCCAGCAGCGTCCTCGGCCTGATTCATTGCAACTACTGCAGGGAGGGCAGAGCAGTGTTAGGCTGCTCTCTGTGAGCCACATCTCCCCCTGCCACCTGCACCAGAACCGGCCTCCCCAGAAGCACCCAGGGAGCAGAGAGGGGAGCGAGGGCTGGGGCTGCAGGGGCGGGGACAGCCCTGGGCACCAGGAGAGGAGCAGCGTGCAGGGCTGCAGCAGCGGGGACAGGCAGAACTCCAGGCAGAATTCCAGACAGCGCCCAGAGCTGTCCCTTCCCTCTCAGCAGCGCCACAAGAGAACCCAAACACTGCTCATTCCGTGCCAAATTCTCACCCAAAACTGCAGCGCCTATGACCAGTACCGCGAAGTATGCCACGGCAACTGGAAGAAAGCCTAAAAAAGAAAATGACAAATGGGCGGGTATGTGGGCACTAAAGCCCCTCCCGGCTGGAGCCCCGTGCCCTGTGCCGGGCAGGGCAGGGTCCCAGAGGCAGCAGCAGCTCTCCCAGCACCGCCCTCCTTCAGCCCTGCAGAGGCCCCGGAGGAGAAAAGGGGCGAACCCCAGGGTCCCTGTGCCCCCCTCGATCTGTCCCACGCCAAGGTCCGGGCCCCCCACCCCACGAGCCACCCAACTTACTCATGGGCAGCGGGACAGGAGCGAGAGCTGCAATGAGGCTGCTCTAATCCCGGTACCTTGGGAAGCAAGAGGATTTTTTTGCGTGGCCGGCAGGTGGGGTCAGCGGGGCTTTGCTGCCCGGCACGATCGCCCCCAGCCGCCCCTCTCCCACCAGCAGACCCCGGCCCTCCCCTCACAAGGAGAGACCCCCCCCTCTTTCCCCAGCCCCGGCTGCTCCGCCGGCACAGCGAGGGGAGCAGCCCCCGTTCCTGTCAGCGCATCAGCGAGGCTGCTGTCCCCAGACACCCACCGCGACACTCCGCGACACCAAAGTCTTGTTTCGCTCTGAGGGGCCAACGGCGTTCGGAAAAGCTCCCCCCAGGCACGGCAGTTGTGTGTCAGCTGCTTTCCGCGAAATTCAGAAGTTTCGCTTTCTGGTTAACTCCTGATGGTGCTGCCTCTGCTAGAGCAGGACTGGGGCTCTCCCGTGCTCGGGGTCGCACCCTGGGCTGTCCCCTCAGGGAGCCCTTTGGCCCCGAAGGCCTCGGACGGGAGCAGCGGGGGAAGGACGCGCCGGGCTGGGGCTGCTCGGGCTGTGCCAGGGCTCCGGCGGCTTCACGGGGCCTTTCCCAGCAGGTTTGGGACCGATGAAACTCCGCGGCTCCGACGAGCACCGAGAGCAGTCTGGAGGGCAGAGCTGAAGCCGCTCTGCCTCCTCCCCACAGGGCATCCTCAAAAACCAGCAGAAACCCCTCTCTGCACCCCCGTTTGTCCCGCTCCCTGCAGCCGCTCCTCAGCCCGAGCCCGCTCGGGGCTGCGCAGCGGCAGCGCTCAGGGCCAGCGGGTGCCGTGGCTCATGCGCCGCTGCAGCTGGTTGAAGGGGACCAAATCCAGTTGCAAGTTGATCTGGTTCCTTTTTACCAGCCCCAGGGACGCATCGTCTCTCCGGAGGCTCCGTCTGGTCGCTGCTGGAGATGGGGGCTCCCGGCGTGGGGGTCCCAGCCCAAAAATACATACTTCTTAACATTCCATAGCACCGGCCGGCTCCATATGGGCATATGAAGAAGTATGTAGGGTTGGGAGGGAGAGGCGGGCGCCGCGGGGCTGGGGCCGCGGGGCACGGGGCTGTCCCTCTGCCGGCCGTGTCCCCCAGCCCCAGTGAGGTCCTGGAAGGAGCCCGTGGCCATGGTGAAACCCGAGACTGGCCAGGGGCTTTGGGGGCACCTCCTGCCCACCCCCGGTCCCATCCTTCTCCTCTCTCCGGTGCAGCCGAGGTGGAGGCACTGCCCAGGTGGCCCCGGTGCCTGCAGCCATCCCACAGCTCCTCGTGTTTGGAGCCAAGGCCAACCCATGTGTGCCTCGGACCCAGAGCCCCTGGGGGGCTGCAGAGTGTTCAGGTTGGTGTTCTGGGGGATTTTGGCTGCCCTTTGAGGGTGCCAGGATGCTCCGGGATGCAGCTGAGGCTCAGTGGTTTGGGCTGTGGGGGCACCTGTGGAGCTGCACCTGCGAGGAGATGGGGGCACAGCCAAGGGCCATGTCCTGTGAGCCCACACAGGCCAGCACGGATGGGTGGCAGGGGTGGGTGCCTGTGCTTGCAGCCATTTCCACAGGGGAATCCTCCTTGGCCCTGGCTCTTGGCTTGGCAGGGGTTCCCTCTGCTGCTGCTGCTGCTGCTGGGCCAGGATGCACCAACTCATTCCCCTGCCCCCCTGCATCCCCCATCACCCACAAACTCCACATCCCCATATCTGCCCATGTGCCAGAGCAGTGTTTCAGGCTGGTGCACATAAAGTCAGTGTAGGTGGGCACCCACCTCCCACACCCCCATGGCCCTGCCCATCTCGTTTGCAGGACCAGGAGAAGGACACAGGACTCAGGGCTTTCTCACCCTCTCCCCACCCTGCAGCTCTGGACTGGGAATGCCGGAGGTGCCTTTGCCCATGGGAGGAGGGATGCAGCTGAGAACTCAGAGTCTTGACAGTCTGAGGGACTGTGGGGGCCTCCCATGCCCAGCACACCTAGCTGTTAACTACAGTATCATGGGATCAAAACCCATCTGCCTGGTAAATGGGAGGGTCCTAGCCATGGCAGGGTGACAGAGGGGACGCGCCCTGACTTCAGTGACCTTCCCAGCCCTACATCTGCAGTTGGAATGGGACAATGGCAGGTACAGGGTGTGTTCTGGGGTTCCCAGGGCTGGCTCCTCTCAGGACAGGGGGTGAGAGGTACGTGGGGGCCTGGCTGTGGGCAGGAGGGGCTGGCTGGACATGGCGTGGCCGTGACTCAGCACCAGGAGCCATGGCCACACACACCACAGCTCCCTGCAAGGAGCCCCCGGGGGCCAAGTCCAGCCTCACGTCACCAGCCCAGCTCACAGCAGCCACAGGCAGCAGAGTCACTGCTCAGTGGCCCCCCAAGACACCAACCACTGCTGTGGGGCACAGCATGACACAGCCAGGATGCTCTGGCAGCAACCCAGGAGCTCCCCCATGGCTGCTCCCCAGGGATGCGGCCCTGAGGATCCCAGACACGGCTCCCAGGAGCCCAGACAAGGGCCCAGCCCAGCAGGAGCAGTGGGCACAGCGTGTCTGGCAGCACCAGCAGCCCTGAACCACCCCAAATCAAACACAGTGGGTGTCCTGAGCCCAAGGCTGCAGAGATGCACCCAGTCCAGCCCCGGGGCTCTGCCGGCCCTGCAGTGCAGGGCCATGCTGCCCTGAGGATTTGCTGCAGCAGTGCTGGGGTCCCAGGCACTGCCAGCACTGTCAGGCTGCAGTGGGAGTCAAAAGCTCAGGGCTGAACCCACCCACCCTGAAACCACAGAGCCAGGGCTCTCACATCGCAGCCGAGTTCATCTCCAGTCACCTCGGCTGACCTTGGGCAGCCTCCCAGTGCTGGGAATTAAGACACCCCAGCCCGAGTGGCCCACGCAGCCCCAGCCCGTGGCACTGCTCCCACAGCCCTCGGCTGGGCTCTCCCAGTGACCTTGGAGGGCTGCACCAGCTCCAGGGGATCCTCACTGCATCCGGGGCACCTCGCTGTGTCCCCTGCTCCAGCCCGGGCCCCCCCTGCCTGCTCCCACCTCCCCTCCTTGCCCCTGCCCTGTTCCACAGACCGGTTCTACCCCACTGCCCTCCCTGTGCACAGACATTCCCTGTCATCACCACCAACCCCTCTGCAGCCCTGGGCGTGCCCCCCACCACCGACGGCATCCCCGAGCCCTGCCCAGCCCCAGCGCTGCTGTAAACCCCGAGCCGAAACCCACCCGGGAGCTGTGGCCTGGAGCAGACCCTCTTCCAGGAATTCTCCATGCCCGCAGAGCGGCTCTGAGTCCGCGGCCAGGGCAGCCCCCCGTGCTCTCTACGTGCCCCAAGAGCAGCTCCTTGCCCGGGCAGGGTGGTTTGCGGGCACCAGGCGGCTTTGCAGGGGGAGGCGGAGGAGCCAGGGGGCTGCCGGGGCCGGCCGTAGTGGCACCCACGCGTCCGCAGGCACCCAACAACCCCGGCTTGGCTATAAAAGGAAGAGTCTTTTTTTCCCCCCCGGCTCCGCCAGCGCCGCGTCCCTGGCCGAGCTCTGCAGCCGCTGCCCCGCAGGGGCCTTTCCAAGTTTTCCCATCCAGCGCTGCCCCCCCAGCCGGCTTCCCCCAGCTCATCCGTCCCCGGCAAACCCACTGCAGCAGCTGCTGAGTGTCTTATAAAACACCAAGAGGCCCAGCAAGCAGGAGGGAGGTGGGCGCAAGGGGAGCGCTGGCACAGGGTGCCCGGGGGAGCACCGCGGGTCCCGTCCTGCCGTCCCTTCGCCCGGCACTGCCCGTGTCGGGGCGGTGGGCGCATGACCCTGGTGCACCCGGCCGTGGTGGTCAGCGCTTCCCTCCGTGCCAGTCCGAAACGCGATGCCGAGGTGCCCAGAAGTTGGGTTTCCCACCCTATCCCGCAGGCGCGGGGTGTCCCCACTTTGCGTGGCGGAGGTCGCCTCGTCTCCCTGGGGAGGGGGCGACCCGCCCCGCTGCGGGGGGACCCCCGCGGGCAGCAGGGCCGGGTGCTGCCCGCAGAGCCCGAGCATTCACCACCCAGGACCCCTCTGCAGCCGGGACCTGCCGGGGGGGGCCCCACTGTCCCCCCAGCCACACAGGGACCTGCTGCCACCCCCGCTCCTCCGCCTGCACCCGGGCTGGCCCCAAGCAGGGGGGGCTGCGGTGTCCCCCTCCCCAGGGCGTCCCCTCCCCGCCCACGCCGAGCCGCTGCCGGCGCCCGCAGCAGGAGCATCCCCGGCCCCGGCGGGCTCAGCACCGGCCGGGCTCGCTGAAGGTTAAACCTTGGCGGCGGGGAAAGCCCCGCTGCCCCCCGCAGACCCCGCACCTCCCGCCCGCAAGGCCACTCACGGTGCTGGAGGTGACAGCGGCCGCAGCAGGCTGGGCTGGCGGCAGCGAGCTGCGGTGACACCCGGCACGAGCACGCTGCTTCTCTGCTCGCCTTGACTTTGCCACAGGACTCCTCCGGCTCGTCCGCAGGAGCTTGCAGCATCCTCCAGTTCAGCGGGAGAAGTTCCTCGCCAGGGAGGGAGGGAGGAGGGAGGGATTTAAGGCAGACCCTACCGGGGATGCAACATCTACGGGTGCAGTTGAAGACCCTTCGCTCGCTGGGCACCCCAAAGCTCCCTCCTCGCTCTCCCCATCCTGGTCTCGGTGTCTCGGCACATGTGCCCGATTCTGGGTGATCTCTGCTGAGAAACCCTCTCCTTCCCGGACAGAGACAGCCAGGGCTGCCACCAGCACGCAGACAGCCGGCCGGCTCTGCCACCTGCCCCACATCCCTCGGGTGCCCTCGGGGGTCCCAAGCCCTGTCGTGGGGGAGCCGGCACACACCACTGGGCCCAGCAGCAGCCCAGGGCAGCTCGAGGGCAAAACGGAGCTCGTGGAGTGCACAGAAGGGTAAAACCTGTCACCACTTCAGCCACACGAGATTCCCATGGCCAGGGCACCCCGTGGGGATGGAGATCCCTGGGTTGCCCCAGGCCACCCACCTGGGGCGTCCCCAACCACGGGGCGGTTGTTCCAGCATCCCCAGCTGCCAAGTCCGGGGGTACAGGGCTGCTCTGCCCACCCGGAGCCCCACCTGTCCTACCTGCAGAGAGCTGGCAGGGCAAGGGGGACCCCTGCCCGGGGCAGGACGCTGGGAGACACCTCAGCGTGGTTCCCAAAGGGAAAAGCCAGGGCCAGCAGCGTGGCATCCCTCCCGCGGCGGTCCCGGCGGCTCCCTGCCTGCCACGACACCCTCCCCACCCCGGGTGCGCTCTGTTTGCCTGCTATTTTTGGCAGCCTCCTAAGAGCTCCTCTCAGGCTATTAATAATGAGAGTGAGAAATTCGTTTGGCCTCTCCTATATAAGGAAAGGTAGAGGCTTAGAGGCAGCTAAATATACTGGCGCGTGCGGGAGCGAGCGGGGAGCCTTTGGCACCGCGTGTGGAAAAGGAGATTGTTTGAACAATGGAAAGACGGACTCACTCGGAGCACGGGGCCCCGCCTGGACCGACGGGCGGACGGACGGACGGACGGAGGGTGACGGTGCCCGCGGGCCTCCACCGCAGCAGCCGCATCGCCCCCGATGCCCCTCGGGGCTCTGCCTCAGCAGGAGGAGCAGCGGGAGAGGGGCGGCAGGGGCAGGGATGCTCGGCAGCTCCTGCTCCGAGCCAGCCGCGCTCGCCCCAAAATGCCTCTAACAACCCCCGGGGAGTGACGCTGGGTCTG